AGTAGGTGAAAAATTAGTTTGATATTGTTTATCTGTCTTTAATTTCCTGGACATTGCAGTATTCTCATTGACTTGAGAATCTATTTCACATCAAGGATTTTTAGCAGTTGGTATTCCAAGCATTAGACGAAAAACAAGATCTTACCTAAAGAAGACAATAAAAAGTGTAATGAATGCTGTCAAAGGGAATGAGGAAGGCAATATCACTGTTGTTGTGTTCTTGCTGATTTTAACTCAGATTTTAAACAAAAACAACTGTCAGATATAACTATGATGTTCAAGAAATATATCACATCTGGAGCACTTCAAGTCATTCAAGCTCCAAGAGATTATTATATTCCACTGAATGATCTTCATCGAAATCTAGGTAAGCTAAATATTCTGTAATTGCAAGGAGCAATATAAAGACAATTAACTTAGGTTGGCTGGCTTTCTTACTATGATAGATGTAATTATATGTAACATATAGTTTCAGGTTGGGACCTTGCAGCTTACTTAGTTATTTTCTGTGTTTTTTCTCAGGTGACCACATGGACCGAGTTCTGTGGAGATCAAAGCAATCTTTAGATTATGTCTACCTCATGTGTTATTGCAGTTACATCTCCCATTACTATCTTCAGCTTGAAGATGATGTCATTGCTAGTCCACGGTTTCTTTCTAAGATTTCTGACTATGTTGATTCTCAGAAACATGAATGGATTTCTTTGAATGTTGCCCAACTTGGCTACATTGGTAAACTATACCCAACAAGAGAGGTTTCAAATTTAGCATCCTATCTCAGACTCTTTTTTAATGAAATGCCTGTTGATTGGTTAGAACCAAGATGGAAAAAATATCGAGGACAGGACCCTGGAGAAACAAAGTGCAGAGCTGCTTCTCTATTTCAACACATTGGGCTTATTTCTTCTTTTCGTCCAAAAGAATCTCAAAGACCAAATACTTTAAAAGAGAAATTTTTTGATCAATTTGATCAAAAGTACTCTGGAAATAACCCCCCAGCAGAAATCTTTTCTGATCTTATTCCTATTCATGGAAAACCAGAAGATGCTTACACAAAAGGTGATGGTTATTTTCATGCCCGTTTTGGTGGTGCAGGAAAAAAAATATATAACATGTTACTTAAGACGAAGAGAAAGCTCCAAAGAGTTGTGGTTGAAACTGGGGCTAATTTTGCTGAACATGATGCTATTGTAGCTGGGACATTGGAAATCAGTGAGATTATTGCACAGCAAGGGAAAGTCTGTGAAGACTACGAGACTGTTGGTGAGTTCAGGTTTGGAAGAGTAGATGTGACGTTGAACGGACGTCAAGTTCGATGTATACGTATCAATATCGTCTATCAAGGAAGGTGGATTTATTTTCGTGAGATTGATGTTTGGACGAGCTGATGAGTACATCCGTATTACGTCCTCTCGTCGCTGCCACGGGATCACCTGAGCAAATATGACTCTTCGTTATCAAACCAAAGAGGCAACAAAGTCCTCATCGACATCCAGTCCCGATGATGAAAGAAGATCGCAAAGAAGAGAAGATGGTGGAGGTGAAACAAATGATTGAGGAAACTAGATACTCTCATAAACTCCTGGGTAGATAACCAGGCTACAACACCCACAGACATTGCGTAAAAATATAAGTTTATTGAGAAAAAGGTCGAAGCTTTAAAAAATACATTAAACCTAAATTAAGTTAAATTCAAAAATAAAAAATTCTGTAAACCTAGTCAGTACAAACAAATTTTGTATACAGTATGTTACAACTATTCAGCATTGCCATTTTGTCACCATTCCGAATTTTCTTGGAGATCGTATTCTAGTGATCTTAATATTTACAAATTTCCTCAATTCTATCTTCAAACAGCAGTGATTCATGTCGCTTGGTCTATCGGAAATGTATATAAAAATCTTCGTAACACCACAGCTATCATCGTTTGTGTCTTGATATCAGTCACATTTCAACATTATTCAGAATGTTCTTTGCTCTAGGCTAGTGCCCTCCGTGCTTTTCCAGGGCTGGTAAAGTGTAACTATGTGAGAACATTTGTTTCACATTCTGTTGCTGAAAAAGAGAAGCAGTCATAGTGTGATCATCAGATATACACTGAAGCCGGCGATAACTACCTTTCAACATCTTCCACAGTTCCAAGTAAACCTTACCTTCACGTTGTTATCTTTCGTCTGAATATTGGTGATGGTTGGAAAACTTGTTGGGAACTTGACAGTTGTGTTTGATGTACGTGTTGCACCAGCAATACGAGGTAAGAAACTACCGTCTCCTTGCAAAAGACCCTGCAGCAAGGTAAACCAAGAAACATGGTTTAGAGAGAGCAACCAGGACAACGCTTCATACGAGAACATCGTCCAACAGAAATTAGACAAATTTCAACTTACTTTAGACTTTGCATCTTCTTGCACGATCTTTTTCTGAAATATTCCGTAGCAACATGTATATTAGCACTCACTCTCGTGTTCGTGTGATGATGGTTTCAAAATGATAACACTATTTATTACCTTTGTTCTTCTGTGTGTCTTGTGTTTCGTCAGTATTCTTGATTGTTGATCGCGATCTTTATTTCGTTCCAACGCGGCAGCTTTTTTATCTGCATCTCTGAGAGAAAATATTCAAGATCATTTCTTAGTTTGTACTTTTGCTTGGGTTCAATGTGTTTCAAAGCTGAACCTTAACTATATAAATACCTTAGTTTCTTGAAATAATGATGGCGTAATGTTTGTCTGGCAGAAATTCTATGAACATCGTATAGAAACAATATTACAGTTTTTTAAACAGTTTCGTCAATCTTTTAATTAAAGATGATAGGATCATTGGGTGCCTCACCTCTCGTCTGGATCGTAGGTACACATGAGTTCAATAAGGTCTATACATTCAATTGAGACATGTGGCAGTAGTTTACGAATTCCTGTTCCTTCTTTCTGCGGGAACTGAAAATTGATACTTCTTGATTTGCTGAAAGGAAAATTGATATAAGTTCCTTTATGAATATTGCATTCGTCAGCTACCTACGCCACATACTTTGTTAGTTTTTGCAGAACGCTTTGTGGAGGAGTGCCAAGGACATCGTGGATTTTGGCAATTTGATCAACTTCGTTTGAACCGGGAAATAACGGATGTAAACTATAAGAAATAACAGATCAATTAAGCTTTGAAACACTAAACGATACGCATCCTTTCAAGAAAAAGGATTTTATCAGGAATTTTTACAACTTCGTTTACAAAATCCGACGCAAATACGTGCGCATGCATTTTTGCAACATTCAAAACTACAAACCTTAGAACTTCAAAAAATACACATCCTAGACTCCAGATATCCATTTTATAAGAATAATATCCATCTGTTAATAAACATTCTGGTGCGCGATACCTAATGAATTGCAAATGTGTCAGGATACATCGATCCACTAAATAATAATTGCAACCTGATTAGAAGGATGAAATTAATCACAACTAACCATCGAGTTGAAATATATTCTGTATAAGGCTGTTTGGAATACACACTTCTACATGACCCAAAATCTGCTAATTTCACGACATCATTCTAGGAAATTTTAATAGGCATTTATAAATTTGTAGGGTATATTATATTCAAATGTAAATTTGAAGGTATGCTCGTACTTTAACTAATATATTCTCAGGTTTGACATCTCGGTGAAAGATTCCATTTCTAAAAAGATATGAAGGATTAATGAAGTATTTCAAAAAGCATTTGGTTCATTAAGTTTTAATGGCTGCATATTTTAAAATCATTTCCTGTTAAGAAATTCTAATTATAGTTCCTGCATATTAATTACTTCCTTTAAAATCTGTCTCAATGATAATTGCTTATTCCTGTTGTGTCTACTGCTGTACCGCAGGACAATAACTTACCTGTGCATATGATCAATAGATTTGCATATCTGATACATGTAATTTTTGACTTGTTCTTCTGGTAAATAATGTCTTCTTCCTATGCAATAATATTACACGGATTTTACACCAAGAAAACATAAAAAATACGTAAAAATATAATAAAAAATGGAAATATGAACGTAAGAAAACTCTGGACCCCCAAAGGATAACATAATTATAAATTAACAGCTGCATGCAAACATGGCTTTATAATTTCAGTGATGATATATCATTTTGCTGTAAAATAGTCAGGTAGATTTAGGCAGTTTATAAATTTACAATTCTGCTTGGTTACAGCAACTTGTCAAATAACTCCCTAAAAGTGAGTGTTTTTCCTCACCGAGACAATAAAATATTGTTTAAAATAAATGTCTTTCTAAACGAGACAACGTAAATATTTCATCAGCTGCAATAATCAAGTGCACACAGGGGCTTGTAGGAATATTACATGTCATATAAAAGATGATGTAACTATATCTTCTTGATAATATAATTAAATAAGACGGTTTAGCGGTTTAGACTTTAACTAAACAAACTACAAACAGCGGTTTTAGAGAAATATGATTATTTCTGAGCCCGGAAAAAGCTGCATGGTTCAGTCTGTCGGGAAAAAATATCGTGTTCTTTGATCTAAAGTTTGTTTAGAAGATGGCTAGATTGAAACTGCAATCATTTAATTCTATTCCTGCAATTGATTACTTTTAAATCTTGTGAAAAATAATATGAGCTGGCATGTTTGTCAGTTTATCTCATGCTTCATGTTAAATAAATACCTCGTATTAGCTCGTATAGATTCATATCCATTAGTTCACAGACTAACGCCAAGTGTCCGCTCTTCCGGTCACTAAAAGGTTCAGAGACGGATTTTTGTGTTAGAAAGAAAGCAAATTGTTGTGTTATGGGACTCCAGTAAAACTTAGAGATAAATATCGTCCACTCACAAAATAACTTCTTTTAAATCTACAACATTAGGGTGAGGTGTGAGGCGTCTCATCGCTTGGATCTCACGTAAATTATTCACTTGTTCAAGACTAGAAAATGTACAAAAGGAAACCGAACAGTTGAAATATATTGGGCTGGTTTTTTATGCTTAGGAATATAGACATCTGTACTCTGTAGCATTTTACCTATCGTAATGTTGTTTCATTTTCTTGCAAGCGAAGTAACTACCATCCCGGACATTTTGGATTTTGAGCACTTCAGAAAATGTGCCTTCGCCCTTCTTCCCTAAAACTCGGTATTCTGTGAGAAATAGAGAGGTTTAGCATAAACTATATCTGTTGTGATTCAGATACGTGATATGGAAAAAGTAGAGATCATTAAGACAGTCGTAGTCATTTTAAAACCACTTACTTTGCATTGTAGCAGCCGGCTAGTGAAGGTTAAAAATTTCCACAAAGCACCATTGCTTTATTTGTTCCTTATTTTATGTTTGTACGGTACCAATTCCTACACTGATGTTTTCCTTTTCATATTTTGTATACGTTTTTCGAGGTCTAAAGCACAACTTCACAGACAGGACAAAATAAGAGCAAGTTAAAAGATGGATTTGTGTATTAACCTGCCTTGATCTTTTGATCGAACCTAAACCAACATTGGTTACTATAGCAACAGTAAGATTGTAACTTTGTGATTGTTATTCCTGAAAATGTGACCAAAAATTTTAGAATCGCTAATCTTGTTGAAGACATTTGGAGATTTGTCCGAAGAGTTTCGTTGAAATATATTTAGCTTTTAAAAGAAAGATAAAAAAGGATGAAAATTATCGACGAGGATGGGATTCGAACCCACGCGTGCAGAGCACAATGGATTAGCAGTCCATCGCCTTAACCACTCGGCCACCTCGTCGTGTTGTGAAAACGTTGTGAAATATCTGTAAATAAAGCTTGTAGAAAGAGATAAGCATTAGAGAAATAGTTATTCCAAAATTTTATGATATCTCAGTTTTCTTCCTTCCAAAACTCGTTGTAAATCATGGCACAGACAAGTAGAACATATTGAAAAAACTCACAAACTATCAGCAGGATGGCGAAAGGTGGCGCCCTATATCTGCCTGCGAGCAGGTCAATGAAGCAAGCGTTTTTCTCACGTGCACGTGCTTTTTCTTCACGTGTTTTTTTTTCAATATGGCCGACGCAGAAGGAGTTGGAAAAGTTGAAACAGTTAAAAAGAAAAGAAAACGTGTTAGTAAGAAATCTAAACGTAGCTGGAGGAAAAATGTTGATATAACAGATGTTGAAGAATATTTAGATGAAGTTAGGAGACAAGAAAGAACTGGGTATGCTCAGAAATTAAAGATTGAAGTGAATGAAACTTTATGCTCTTTATAATTTTTTATTATTTGCCTGTATTTTCTAGAGGAATAATATCACACAAGAAAAACGAAGAATTATTTTATGTTGCCAAGAATACTGACGAGAAAGAAGGTAAAAGTTGGCTATATACTACATTTATTTTTCAATGAAAACTCCTGTGCCTGTGGTACAATATTCATCAGTCATCACCTCTGTTGAACAATAATTGTGTTTTGTATTTTAACTTTTTTCATTTTGTCTAAAAACAGAAAGAGAAAACGTAAAATCTGCGAAGGCTAAAAAAAGGAAGTTGGTGAAAAATGATGAAAGTTCAGACGAGTCTGATGATGAAAGAAGACAGAAGAATCTTTTACTCAGAAATCACCAAAATAAACTTCAGAAAACTGAGTTATATGATTTATGGAGTCCTAATGATGACAAAAGTAAGATTAATGGGATGTGGGAAACATTTTTGTGGCACCAATATATTTAGTTTGTATTATTTTGAATCGATTTAGTTAGAAACCTTTTCTGTTACATAGCAAGTAAGAGCAAAACTGAAACTTATGAAAATGAACATTATTTAAAAACTACAAAGAAAATGACAGTTAAGGTATTTATTCATCTACTAAATAAGAATCAGAATATTTTACATCAACTGAACAGCTAAGGACATGACCTCTCATATCACAAATGATTGTCTTCATTGTGTTTCTAGCAACCTAAGACAGCATACAAAATACGAAGTACAGCACCAGCTTTAGCAGTCTGCCATCCTGGGGCTTCATACAATCCAGCATTTGAGGATCATCAGGTGTGGATTATTAGGATGTTCTAAATGGTAGTTAAATCTGGAATCCCATCTCAGCTGTATTGCTCAATGGCTTTTTCATATAATCATAGGAATTGTTGATGACCGCATGTGAGGTTGAAATAATGAAACAGAAAGACATTGATAAGATAAAAAGGCAGCTTCAACTACCATCTGAAGAAGAATTGGCAAAACTTGTAAGTAGTGTGTTGAAAAAAAACTGAGATGGATTTTCACAATCTCTGAGTAACCATCCATTATCCATTATCTACTACTAAGATTTGTTTTTTAATAACAGCCAAGTTGGGAAGAAGAAATGAGTCAGGGTTTGTTTGATAAACATGAAGATAAAAATAATGAAAGTGAGAATGATGATGATAATGATGATGTATTGATGTTGCCTTCCAATGGTAAGAAGGACAGAAAGACTAAGAAAGATAAAAAGAGAGCAAATGAAAGAAAGAAAGAGGTGACATTTTGTGAAACAAGTTTGATTTAGTGAACCTTAGAGTCAGCATTTCCCCTAGTATATCATGATGAATTCTTTTTTGGCAGGAAGAAAGTTCAAAGGAGATGCATCGCAGAAAGGTGAAGGAGAATGAGATTTTCAGGTTTGTTTAAATTTATTGCTTAGTTTGTGATTTGTGTTATGGTAAATGTTGGAGTCTAACAATACTTCCTTATTTTAGAATGAAGTCAATCAAAAGGACTATCAAGAAAGGTGAAGAGAAAACACAGAAACGACAAGAAGAGAAGCAAAAGAAAATGATTGAAGCATCATCAAAACCACAGCGATTAGGAAGACAAAAGTATCCTATTTGTTTTACTATGGAAGATAGTCAAGACCAACTTTTTGTCAACATTTATCTTCCATGTTGACTTTCCATTAAAGTCTTATTCATCCATAGTCCTTTAGTGGTTTAACTTCTTAACTTATGTGTAAAGATTTGAAGAAATGAATATTGAAGTTCAGTTAACCAACGAACTGAGAGGAAGCTTGAGGAATCTGAAGGTAAATATCAAGAGCAATATTGGGGTATTTTGTATGTTAAGGAGAGATATTGAGGTATTATATAGGTTAAGGATAGATATTGAGGTATAGTATAATACCTAGCAAGGATGCTACCGTACACTGACAGGCTTTTTGAAATTGTTTTTGCAGCCAGAAGGCAATCTCTTCGAAGATCGTTTCAAAAATTTGCAGCGTCGAAACATCATTGAACCTAGAAGACCTGTCATGTGAGTATTTTGTATAAATGAAGAAGCTTTTCTTTCTGAGGGAAAAACGACCGTCGACCTGTGCGAGGTTTACCCATGTCAGATTGTCTGTGTTTCCCAGGTGATGAGGTCAATATTGCAAGTAATTTTACATCATGTTTTCACATCAGGCCACATCGTAAATACAAGTTAAAAGAATACGAGAAGCGTTCGTACAAGAACTTTGACCTTCAAGAAAAACTGAAGAAGAAAAAGACAAAGAATTAGGTCAGTGGAAAATCTTCGTGTGAGTAATGTTCTTCTGTTGTGATATGAGATTTGATAAACATGAAAGCTTTCTTCCATTCCTCGTAATCTCATAACATCGTGCCGTGCGTTAAAATGCCCCAGGAACATAGTGCGCGTTTTCAAGAGCATAATGAATGAACTGATTCAGGTGTTGGAGAGGAAATTATATTCCAACCCGCGTGAAAAATACGTAACGGTCGCGTGATCTCGAGATTAAGGTCTTGATCTTCTTCATAGAAAAGTACGTCAATATGACAAAGCCGTAAAGAGTATTACGAAAGGTCAATAATCGGATATTTTTAATCGCATTGTTTGATTGAAACGTCCTTTCGTTAATTGGGTTTCGTAATTACAGTTACGAAGATACTGAACATATATATTTTAACATTTAAATATTGCATTGTGGGATGTAATGATCATAGAATGGACGGTGATCTGATAATATTATGCAAGAAATTTTTAATGAAAAAATTTACTAACTCCTACACAGTGTGTATCTATCGTACACGTATCTCTACTCTAAGGTATATTTGCACTAGTTAGATAACGGCGACTAGAAGATAGTTATGCTACTTCATTATGAGTCGTAATAATTCAAGTATACTACACAATCACTCGCGCTTTATTTACACTATCACTTTTAAACATATGATGTTAGGGTTAGCAATGGTTTGACCAAGCATCGGTTTGGTCGAGGGTCATCGATCACATCGCACACAATTTTCTATGGTGACTGTTGGCTTGAGAGTCTATTTGCCTTGTTGGTTGTTCGCTCCAGGAGTTTTATTCCCTGGGATAATTGTTCCAGGGGTCATCTTCCCTGGTGATTATGTGCCCACGGTTTTAAGAACGTTCCTTTGTTACCTGGGTCATTAATTCGTATTAGTGGGACATTCTGTTCCTTCGTTTCACTTCCCTCATCAGAACAACCGTTTATGGTGATTGCTATCTCACTGAGAGGAACACTCTGTGGTCTGTCATTAATCATGATATCTCCTGAAGAAATATTTTCACTGGCCATACTATTCAGACTATTCTGGTAATTGCCTTGTAAGATATCATTCAGCTCAGAACAACTCTTTGCAAGCCTTGGTTTTGATAATTGTTGTGTTGGACAAGAACAATTATCTGTGCTCTTGTTGTTGTTATCAGGATGTTTGTCGCAGCGATGGAAACAAACGAGGTGCAGTTCTGCATTGGAAGTACATTTTCTTTTATTTCCCAGTCTCTTGATCAGCGTTTGTTTTCTTCGTAAAGACCTCACAGATTGTTTAACACAGCTTGGTATATTTGACGAGCCACTGTCGTATATAGTTGACGAGAAGCTACGAGAGCTGATCGAGCCAGGGGCGACTGCTCCCCGACGAAGGTAAAGTGGATACGTCGATTGTGCGTCAAACTGCAGTGCGCTCGGAGGGGACTGACTCTGCCTCGGGTGATGCGTTATCGCACCTATCACGCGCGAGATTGAGTTTGAAAGAAATGATTTTTTTAAGCGCTTACCAACAGGAACTTCTAAAAAATCAAAGTTACATTCTCTGAAAGATGGGGTAAGATCATCGTGGTCACTGTCTGAAAGGTTTTGCAACTGCTTTGGTTTAGATCCGTTTAGTTGCCTCTCGCTGATACTTGTCGCATCAGTTTTATCATCTCCCTGATTTTCAGTTAATCTTTCCAAGCTTTCTTTAGCTTGTTCATATTTCTTTGCAATGGAATTACAACTATAACTAGATGTTGTGTGAGGTAACTCTGCTTTCTTAGCCTTCAACGATGTCAACTCTTTTGAGAGTGGAGGTTTCTGTTCGACCTTTGGAGGAAGATTCAGCCTGGCCTTCGCGTACGTGTAGAATAAACTGAAGTTAGTTACGAGCAATCACTAACACACCACACATGGCACAGCAACAGCCAAGAACCTTTCCAATCCAAGTTTGAGGTTGAATATCCCCGTAGCCTACCTGAAAAGACAACAAGATATTCACAATTACCATCTGTACATTTCCCAGTCGTTTGAGGTTGCTGCGTCCTTCCTCATAATTGAAAATAGCCATCATTCACCAAGACGAGGTTGTTTGCCTCATTTGACCTCAGTAATCATCCAGATCAATACTTACCGTGGTCATCGTGATTATTGCCCACCATAGACTGTGAGGAACACTTTCAAATTCTGTGATTGATTCGCCTCGTTCAATGAAAAACAGAAGCAAAGGCTTGAAACACAACAACAATTGTCAGTAAACCAAGCTCCCGTGTGCTGGCTTTGAGAGTGTTTGTTAACACTTGAATCACAAAACTGAACGTCAACAAGTTAAACAAACGAATTGATTTAAGAAATATTAACATCTCAAATGGTTGTATCGCATTCGGGCTTTGGTGAATCTTCATGTGAACTATCAACGCACAGACTGAGGTAATGTCCAACCAGTGCAGGAGCTTCTTGAAATGTTCCACAAGGGAAGGTGCAAAAATAAGCCTCAGCACCAGATCAAGAAGAAACCACGAAACAGTAAAAACTCTCACGTTTGATAGGATTTTCATTTTTTGAGAGTCCTTTTGAAATGATTTTAATGTTGTTAGACAGAACTGGATGATTGTTATAAGAAACGTGATCAAATTCAGGATTGATACCAACTGAAATAATGAAAATGACTGTTATGAGTATTTTCTTCATCCTGGTTTGTAAATAAGTCCGTATTCGTCTTACCTTGGCAGGCGTTGAAGATGCTGGTTTTTCAAACAACATATAACCTTGTCTTTTAACATTCTTCCAAAATGAATAATCCAAATCTTCATCTTCTTCTTGATCGTCGCCATCACTCGGTGTTGTGAAGTAGTTCAATTTCTCCTGTTTATCCTTGTGTTGCTTATAATTTTCCCAACAGCACAACTCCACCTACGTTAAACAGTTATTTAGTCAAATTACACAATTTTTTCTACGATTCTCACGTCTCATCATGCCACGTTCTCAGAACATAAGAATGTTCACCTGTCTTTCGTCAATTCCCCAGAAGCTTAACTCTTCTTCAAATAATGGTCCGCAAACATCCATAGGACAGTGCAACTTTCCTGTACGATAATAGTTGACAATATGTGCAAAGACACCCGGATGACGATCAAAGAAATATTCCTTCTTCTCAGGATTATACTGTGGACTTCTTGTTGACGTGTGATGTTGTTCACTGATCCAGTATAATCTATGAATTAGAGAATAATCTATTGGAGAAAGTTCAAGTATTTCCTATTGGAAAGAGTTCGAGTATAATTTGTTGGAAAACTATCTAGAAACCTATCATCATGCATATTAAAGAATAATGGGCGAGACGATACTCTGGTGCGGTTGACTAGTTTTCAGAACGAATATCTGACATGTTTTTGATGGAAATCATCTCTACCGTGTATCAGGATGATTTCTTAAGGTTGTCAAGTAAGTTTCATGACGTAATCCTCCAACGTTAATTGTGATTCGTCCATGACCTTCGTCCTTCGATTTACGATCCATTTCAGGCTCGCTTTCGAACAGCTGTGAGGAAAAGAATAATGAAAGAGATGGAAATTGATAAATAAACATGCATGGAGACTCGCAGATCGAAAGCAGATCATTCATTTACACTGTCTGGCTGGTTATATACTCTCACAACCCTAATAAACCTGAATCGAATTCTATCGAATTATCATTTGTACTGGCTCCAATTAATAATTCCGTGACAGTGTTTGAATTTATTTAGCTGTATGTGTGTGTCATACCTAATTCTACAACGATATCCTCTAATGCGAAAGATAACTTGAAGTTGTTTATCCTTGTTGTAAAGTCAATTTCTTGTTTATAGTCGACTAACTTGCGTGCACACGTATACTTCTACCTTTCTGATGTATTTTTCACATCCGACTCTGTTTATCTCATGTCGGAACATTGAAAATAGAAATGTCTGATATGTGGTTTTATCTCTAGTATGATATATACAATATTGGTCGCACATGATACAACGTAATGACCACAAGTAGCTACATCATTTACGAATTCGTGAACTTATGTACTTCATTTTCTGGTAATCGTTCAACCGCATTTGCTTTGCACATTTGCTTTGAACTTTAGCCGCAGCAAATGAAGCTTTGCATGGAACAGGCTTTAAGTTGTCGAAAACCTGATTACTAAAGTTATTCATCTCATAAATCGTTCATTTAAGTGCTAAAATATATACCAGACATCTTGCCATTTCTTTACGAGGGCTTTAAGACGCAAACATCGGAAATTATTCTTATGTTTTTCCTGAATAATAAACTTATATTTGTCTTTTAATATGCAGGAGGTTGTCACGCACGTTTTTACCTGTCTTCCTTTCTAGTTGCACATAGAACTAAACTTAGCGAAATTATGATTGATATGTTTTGTATATCAAGTATACGGATTAAGTACGCGCCAAGTCTTATAGATCATTTAGTATTTTGTGCGTCCGACACAGTGAATAGATATCTTATTTTACACTTAATCAACCATTTTTCCTCGTATTTACAAAGGCTGAATATGAGACTCTATTTTAAAGTATCGATGGCCATAAAGACAAGTGTTAGTTAATGCCGCCCGTGCCGAGTATTCCAAAAAGGTCTTCTTGATTGGGAAAAAATATTTTTATGATATGAGATCTAAATGCGAGTAATGGTTCTCTATCGTCATAGTAGTTTATTTACTCAGGATAAATTAATTTTTTACTGTGTGCAGCACGGTAAATATAGCCATTGGGATTTTCATTAATTTTCATCGGACATGCATGCATGTTCTACAAACGTGAATGGCAAAAAGTAATTTGTCAACTCACCGCTTCAAAGTCGCTACAGGATGTCAACATCTTGAAACTCTTATGCAAATTTTAACAAATTTTAAGCAAGAAATTAACTCTGTATACGCTTAAAATTCTGAGCATTTCAAGCCGTCAAAAACAAGTCTGTTGTTCTTGCGTCCTCAAGTGGTCCATCTGTATTCGACTAAGATCATTGGCTGATTCATCTACTTTCTCAGTACAGCCTGTTATAACAGCATTATTAAACGATTTAATAATTCAAACCAATATTAATTCAGACGAATATAAATAGGAAACGCATTTTGCTGAGGTCTATTCAATATTTAAGGAAATATATTGATGGTTCATTAAACTTTATTTTTAAATCTGAGATAGACTAGAATTTGATAAAATGTGTGTCCCGACATAGATGATTATTAAACATGCATGCTCTTCAAACACAGCGACTTCCTTAAGTCTATTATCTCTTTTTTGAGCATTTATTTATTTCAATATGGCGTTCGTAAAATGTATGCATTTCTTGGATGTTTTATGCATTTTTATTGTGAATACGCCGTAAATACATGTTATAAATATGTAGCATAAAAAATAAGGTGCATGTCCTAGCTTTAATATTTCATGTGACATTTGAGTACAAATGCTCGTAGCAACGTTTTGTTTCCAGCATTATCTCACTTTTTCAATAGTAGGGCTTAGAAATCTGGTGTTTTCCACCTCAAGAGAACTTATTAGCAGGTTTTCAAGTTAATTAACTGGTACATGCCCTTTTTGCATTTTAATTGCCAGCATAACTTTTTACATTTGTTGTCGTTCCCTAAAGATTGCTTTTTCCAAAAACGTTGTTAATTAATATTTTAACAATATGCCATAAAATCTTCATGGCTTGCGGAGAAGTCTATATAATTATATGCAGTCAATTTTGTCAATATGTTGCCAATGTGGTCTTGGTTGTCTATAAGGCGAGTGGTCACGTGAATGTAGGTTTCCAGCAATTCAAGTTTATGTGCATGAAGGTTTTTCAACGAGTGTCACCATCTTTGCGTTAGTTTTTAGGTAGGCTTAAAGTCAAATCTCTTCCTGGAAGAATATTGACAGGGATATGTTGAACGTGGAAATGCTTCATTAAGTATGCATGCAATACAGGGGGGTGAAGACCCTTAACGCAATACGATTGTTCCAGAAAACATTTGTTTTCACCACATGCACTTTATATTTGGCTACGAACAATTTGCCTGATTCATTACTGATACGAAAATTTGCATTAAACTTTTACGTTTGCCAGTTTCTGAAGTGCCTGTCTTAATCAATTTGTTTTATTCATACGTGTTTCAGCTGTCTCGTATTACGAGTTTTCACAAAGAAACAGCACGGTCGTTTGCCGCGCCCTCCGGCTGAGATATCACGGAGCCAAGTCATATTAAATAATCCTAAAGTGCATGATTGGTCTATTGTTTTAGTCGTTTGAAACGTTCACGAAGAAAAATGATTTTCATTTTGAAATCAACAGCTGCACGTATGCATGGATGTAACCGTATTAGTTACATTTCATACAAGCTGTCAGTGTAAACGAACATATTTCATGTCATGCATGATCGTGCATTATATATGTCTTGCATTCATTGATCCAGGCTGACAAGTGTTTTTCCACTTCGAGGCAGAGCAGAACAGATATATTTTTTCTTATCAAATATACATCGTTGAATGATAATGTAGTATAACAACTGCCTAAAATAGATAAAAAAAAACACTTCTCGACGTTTTGACCTGAGGCCTTTGTCAGGAGAGCTGGTATATCATAATGATATTTATGTATTAGACTTCCTGAAAATTGTGCACGCGTTCTTCTGAACGTGCATGTATTTGAAACAAACACTACAATATATGTGTGAATATACGAGAGGGAAATTGTGCATGAAGTATGCTAGGGTTCGTGTTTTTATATTTTATGACACAAACTATATTCCAAGTTTGTATCTACGTATATTGTGGCAAAATATTTATTTTATTTTCAGTGGTCTGATTAGGAGATAATATTAAGATAAATAGATATAAATTCTATTGCAACTAGGAATTTCCATCTATGGAAACCTTCTGTATATGTTTTTTCAGGTGTTCAGTCCAAAAACAGAAAATTGTTTTGAAAAATTTGCCTAAAAAAGGAAACCGCTAATACGAAAGTTTATCAGTTTTTTCCGTCTTTTGCAGCTTTGTCTGAAAGGTTTTTGTCTTAGGCACGGCTCTATCACGCAGTTATATTAATTAACAATTCTTTATGTCTGTATTTTAATTTTTGTAAATATTCTGATTTCCTGTAGAGTTTTAATTTGAAATTCATCTATAAGTTTACTAGTGAAGGCAAATAGTATATTTATAAAATGTTTTCACTGTATAACTAGCATGCTGTAAGATCATTTTTGTCATTAGAAAATTGAACTTGCATTGTGCATGTATATACAACGCCAGTCAAACCTGCTTGCGACAGATGTTGCTCTATAATATTTAAATTACTGGTTGTTATGCGAAACTAGACTAAACTTCCCAGTTTGTCTATGAGATTCTTTCGACCGTGTTATTACCGTCATATCGCGATGCTTTTAGATCTTTTGTTCGCAGTTAAAATAACGTGGGACGCATGGAAATGATTTATTTTACGATATACAAATGAAACAAAAAAGCAATCTATCATGTTGTGTATTTCACGTTGACGGCATATCAGAAAGAGAATAATCTTTATGTACTTGAAGCAATTCATAACATACAGGAAAGCCAATATCTTATCAAATACATCCAGGCATTTACAATACAACATATATGATAACAAAATTTAACATGATGTAACTAGTTCCATGACGTGCAAAATCTGCTTATGAAATATACTAATATAGTAATGGAGTATTCCTATATTGCAAATATTTGGCTTCAGGGCAGGTCTATACATACGACGCTGTATATATACTACTATTTGCGCTGGAGTATATATATATGTATATCGCAGTCTAATGTTGCTATAATTATTTACTGCAGATAACACCAAAACAGGACTTGTCATTTATGAGTTTTATTCAAACAGTGCATTACATATATACACGATTTTTATGTCGATCTATTATATTTTATTCACTTAAACAAAAATTATTCCTTGCATAGAAACTGCGTTTATTTACTGCAGCGAACAATATGGGCAGAGACTCGATTAAACCTGTGGTTCATTCGAGTTTCCTGAAACCTGAACTTTTGAGTCGCGAGATTAGCATGAAGAGAAGCTGCCTGTTAAAGTTGATAGCTTTAGTCATAATAAACTATGACGCGTAATGAACTACAACTTTAATGAAAAGTGCAAAGGGTTAAAAAACCGTGGGTAATATTTATCGTAACATGCTATTATATAGTTTTTCTCAAATCTCCAAAGTTGTATTTGGCCAAATGGATTTGTATATTGTAATGATCGCCTAAGATAGCCCAGTGCATAATGTTCAGTCCGTTATATATAGTCTATAGACAGATGTAGATCTCGTCTTTTGCAGTTACAGGCAAACACAAAACAATTTTTAAAGTATAATAAGCTGGCTTAACAGCCTAATCGGGTCTTACCTTACTGGATCTTGGTCTCCGTCATCAATAAATAATTTTAGTTTTAAAAATCCTCAGAAGCTCGGGAAACGCTATACATTGTTATTGAAATGGCATCTTAATGTTATCAGTAAAAGCCGTGAACAAGACCATCTCTAGCCTGATGAAAATATGCAGAGGGACCCCTGGCGCGGCACCTGAGATAAACTATTAAGCTGTAATTAAAACCACAGGAAAAGCAGAAAATTTAATGCGTCATTCGCTCCACGTGTAATCACACGCTTGCTGCGTTTTTTTACACGCTGCATGACGAAAGATGTTTACAAAAGCTTGCAACATGCGCTATATAGTTCAAACTATATTTGGGTCGGTCAATATCCTTATTGCTGCTCCTTATAATGTATTTATAGGATGAACATTTAAACATATAAAACACGTGTTAATGATAGGATTCCTTAATTCAGTTCTCCTGCACACCACCCCCCCCACCGTGATAAAGTGAACGGAGACCATGTTATGGACTAGAGTTGAACATTATCCTCTGCAGTCTGCAGATTTTTGTATGACATCAACTTTTAACCGTCCATGCAAAGAACGATTTCTTGGACACATAACTTGGATTACATAATATTTGTAATTAATTTATTCTTTAGACGTATATTTGATAAGTGTTTAAAACGCGAATTACACACCTTTAATATGTGCATCAAAGAAGTATTATATGTAATAAATATGTGTAGTAAATATTTAGATCAATTTAAACACGTCAACATACCAGAATCGTGCGTAATACAAGCTTGCATGCATTGGTTAATATTCTTACCTCTCTCTTTACACAAGGAATGAATGATTTACGTTATTATATTATAAGCATTTAGATAACAAATGCACATATTATTACTTCCATAATTGTATAATTAATATTAAATATTTCTTGGAAGAATTATATAACCCAGGTTACATTTACAATATCTTTCTCAATATATCAAACCCACAATATTTATTCTGCCACCAAGTATTCTCTTAAGTAAGCGACACTGAGTGGTTGACGTTTTGAAACCAGTTGAACAAGTTTTGATGGGATTGACCTCCCGAGAAAAACCTATGGAAAAAATTTACGTGCAGTTTGAAAGAATTGAAGTCATTGTATCTAGACATTGTGCAGGTGAAGGTCATTTTAAAATGGTAACGGTGTCAAATGAAGAAGATACCTGAGTGAGATACCAAACAAGGGAACATGCTTGACCTTTCACTGTTATCGGTTCAATAACCCAACCGCTCGATAAAATCTAGAAGTATCAGAATATATTTTGTTTGTTTTCGCGGCCACCCACTTTGTTGGTTATCTGCAGTTAGTGAAATAACAAACCTTTGCACGTTGTATTCCTCTGACCTCAGGACAGCTCTGATGCTCCACTGACTGGCATGCAAGGATTAGTTTACCATCCTGTATGTAGGCAAGAATATCTTGAGAAAATTTGTTGAAACGAGATTTGCATGAATGTTCAAAAAATCAAGAAATTCCTACTTTCTCGCGATCCATCGATACGAAACAAAAGTCTCGCGATGTCTTGAAAAGGCAGCGTGTTGTTTCATGAACCATGTGAACTGCAAGACAGAAGACCGTCAGTGGAAGAACATGAAGCGAGGTATCGACCAGGCTGAGGTCGCAATCATCGCAAGAATCTTACCTATTGTTAGGTTATCTGCGATCTTCTCCACTATACGAATATTCTATACAAAGAATTTGGAGTGGGCAAAGAGTGATTAGTATGAAAAATGCCAGCCTAAATCAGTGGCATGTCTCTGTGTGACATGAGTTATCAGCTGTTCTTATCGATGATATCGATCAACGATAATTTCTAAAAATATACATCTATTATCGATAGTACCTTGAGCATGCGATCGTACACAAATCTGGACGGCGGCGTTGAGACAGTCTGCAGGACAGTACGTGGTGAAGCACGGATTATACCTCGACCAAGAAAACTATGAATTGCCTCACAATCGTCCTCTTTCCGTAACAAATGAACATCTTTTTCATGACCGTCATATCTGTAGACAAATATGGTATGATCATGCATTAAACAGAGCGTTTACGGAGTTGCCTAGTGTGAGTGTTGCTAGCCGTCTTCACAGCATCCCACATTTTCCCTTGCTGTCCCCAAGTCTCACCTCCATCCTCCACAGTCCTGTTTGATATCCTTGTGAGTTTTTGCCAGCTCGGGGCAATGAGAAGCTAGTTCAATCTAAGAAATAAAAAATCTATAAAACGACACTTCAAGGGAGCTTGCGTTAATATGCAACATTCTTAGAACTGACCTCTCTCAGTATTTCATCAACGGCATCGTTAGCAATTTCTGCGAAACTTGAATTGTCTAATTAGCAAGAAATAGCTTTCAGAATATTTCACACTTGTTGACAAAGTTTTTTTAGATAGAGTATTATAATTAGCACTTACCGAATGATAATGGCTCCAAAACGGTAAAGTTTTCTGTTCTATAAAAACAGAAATATATGTAGCGGGGAGGTATCGTGAATATTAAGGAGTTAATGTAATTGAATATGCCGGCATTCTTACTTTAGTCGTTTAAGATATTTCTCGGCTTCATATTTTAATATCTTCTTCATTTCTTCAATCTCTTTTCCAACATCTTTGCTATGAAGTTCCAACCTTGCTAAGATGCCATGAAACTCTTCTTGATTACACTCAGCTTGTTGTTCCATTTGTCTTTTAACATGATCTAATTTAGCTTCAATATCTTTACGTTCCTTAATCTTCTCAGCTAGTTCTTTTTCAACATCAAATATTCGTCTTTGAGCTGTGACGAGGCTTGATGATTCAGCCTGGTAGTAATCAACTGTTTCATTTGCACTTCCTTCTTCATTATCTGTCATTTCTATCAGTGCATGTAGTTTTTCCTGGAGTACTTTCTGTTCATTTTCTCGCTTGTTTTGTACCTCACGGCTCTGCTGAAGAAAGATTTGTTCATGCGCTAGCAGTGTCTTTCTTTCTTCCTCATTTTTGCCTACTTCAGCTTGTTGATAATGAATCTGAACTTTCTTTTCAATAATTTGTGATTGCATTGACTCATCGTCTAATCCTGGGCTTACACTACGTACTAACTCAACCACACGACTCTTAATTTCTCGCACTTCAAGGCTGTCTTCGTCATCACTGGATTCAAGATTTTCATTAACCAACACCTCTAACGCACTTTGGTGTTCCAAGTATTTGCTCATCAGTATTTCTCGATCTTTTTCAATCTTCATCAAATCAGCATCTCGCTCCAAACTGACGATGTTGACGACATCACCTAACTCTTCACCAAAGCGTTGTTGACATCCAACCAATTTCTCTCGTACTTCTGTCATCTCGGCTAAACTTCGTTCAACGTTCGCTTCACAACGTTTCAAAATTTCTCCCTTTTCCTTTAGCTCCATCTCGCTCTGTCTTAGCTTTTCAGCGTTCTCCTCATTTTGTCTTTCTAGTATTTCAATATCCTTATTGACTGTTTCAATTTTTAGCATTATTTCAGTCTTTCATCAGTTCGAGTTGGTCCGCAGAAAGCTTGTATTGTAGCCATTCCAGTTTTGTTAATTTCTTACAAAATATATCCAAGCTTTCCTCACAATATCAGAAAGTTTTATTTCTTCACTTCGACTTTGTTGAAAATCCTTTCTGGCAACTTCTCGTTCCTTTAAATGACCTTCAAGTATTTCTTGTAAAGATTTTTTTTGTGTTTCAACTTCCTGAAGGCGATGTTTTCGTTCTATTTCACTCTTATTTCTCTCCTGTTTTAACCTATTTTCAGCGTCTTGTATGATTCTTCGCTTTTCAGCCTCAACTTCGATCAGTTTCATTTCATATTGATCTAACTTAGACCACTCTCGTTTAAGTTGTCTATTCAATCTTTTTCGCTGCTTTTCAAGATCTTTCTTCGAGTCTTCAATGAGAGCATGATTTGTGTTTTGCATTTTATTAAAAAGTCTTTCCATTTGTTGCATCAGCTCATTACGAAGTCTTGTTTTTTCATCAGAGAGTTGTTCTCTGAGATTTTGTAATTCTTTTTGGTGTTGTTGAAGCAAAGCCTCGTCATTTTTCTGTCGTTTTATAAGTTCTTTCGCTTGCGTTTCGATTTCTTTATCCTTTGCTTCTAACTCACGTTTATTTTTCGTTTCAATCTCAAATCTCTCGATTTCAGACTGTTTATACTGTGCCAAGAGGTCTTCAACTTGTTGTCTGAAACAAATAAAGGTAGTTTTCGTTAAACCATCAACCGTCAAACACTTCAATTCATCACATCTATTCATTTTGAGATGCTGCTTCATGCATCAATTTCAGCGGTCTGCCCATCATAATCTTCAAGACTAACTTTAATTTGTCCACATTCTTCTCTTCCGTACTCTCCTCCTCTTGGGGGTCCATCTCAACGCTAAAGAAGGCAAACTCTGGGATTATTACATTGTTGTGATATTTATCTTATACTTGAATTGCAAGAGTGCATCTCAGTTCAAACTGACCCAGATTCAGGAGACAGTGGTTGATCGATGAACGTCACTTCTTCAAGTCGTCTTGGTGTGGATGCCATGTGCGTGGACTTATCCTTAACATTAGGAAGAAAAAAAATCACGGTTGCAATGTTGTCTACGCAACAATCGTGTCACTGATATTGCATTGGGATATCGAACTATTCATAGGATTACCAAAGAAAAGGAACGAGTGAAATGTCCTGAGCGTCTCTGTTCTCTCAGAAAACACGCCTCTTGAGGATAGTTAAATTTCAAACGAATATCTTCACCGAGTAAAATCACGTCACCTGCATTAAAGAACAAGATTTAACATCTACAAGTAGAAGTTCTCTACGGCAGACTAGTTTTCTAAGTCATAAATTGCTTAGCATTTTTGGCTAAGGTTCAAATACCTTGAGATAATTTAGTCGGCTCGGTTATAGTTTTATTATTGACACTGCAATATCCATTAAGAGGTTTTAATATAACGTTTCTTGTATCATAAGTTACTACACAATGCTCGTTCTGGATCGCGTCATGGTCAAACACTAAATGAATACAACAACAATTGGTTTTAAAATAGAAATTTTGTACAATCTTTATAAAAAACGCCATGAAATGCTTGAACCAACCAACCTAGGTCAAGTTCTTCCTCAGCATGCAAGTTTCCAATGAAATTTTCTCCTTCCTGTAATTATACTGTAGGTTAAAAATGATGGGGTCTGACTAGGAAAAATATTTGTTGAGTCTGACTGCATGTGTGTGGGTGATGTAATACCTCCTATCCGTTGTTCACAAGAACAAGATATCAAAGACAGTAATCTAACATCATCCTCGAAACGAAGACATTACTTGTGGCAATAAGCTAGACTAAAGAGCGTTGATAGGGTACGAAAGATGGTAAACGTTTGAACTTACTTTCAAACTAAATATTGTTATACTGGTATTGAGAGGATCATCATCAAGTAAGACAAGATGAGGTGGGTCCATATCTATACGCAATGTTGAGCGATGTTTATGAAGACCCAAATCATTTTCCTGAAGAAATAGTGGAAACAATTGGACGGAGTTCAAAACAAAATTATCATTGGAATATTTCACAGGATCCATACCTCCATAATAAGCAAAGTATCTCGCCATTTATCTGCCCAGTCTCGTAAATGTCTTTCCATCTTACTCTCCGTACCCTCCAACAATTTTTGTGCTTCGTCAAGTGTTTCTGTAGCAACACTTTGCTGCACCTACATTAAATTCAAATCATCCTTATAACCGAGTATCGGGATTTCACAATCAATAATATTGACCAATATTGACTAGTATCTATCGATTACCTGGCCGTGATCTCCATCAATGATCGTTTTCAGGCGTTCAATTTCTGCTTTCAGTTCACGTATCAACTTCACATTCGGATCCTGGTGGAAATACGTCAATGTTAGCATCTCTTATGTTTCGTTACAATTAAGAATTTCCTCCGTCATACCTCGTTTATTGTTGGTGCATTGATTATATTCTTGGCTCTGTCTGCATATCGTAAAGTGCTCAAAGTTTCACCATAATTGCCTTCTCCAGGAGCAATAGCTACAGAATAAGAAAAATTCTTCAGATTCCTCATTCTGCGGGTTATGATCGTCACAACCGGACAAGTTTCACCGACCTGCAATCATAATTGTTTTTGAATTTCCACCCAAACTGTCCTTCAATAACCAGGTCAAAACTGAGTCGCGATAGGGAATAAACACTTTTCTTTGAGCATTATCTTTTTGACTGGATCTCTCTGCTAAAGAAGAAATCACACTTCCGAGAGTCGTCAAAGATCTGTTTATATTACCACCTTCCTTTAACCTGTCTCCTGTAGCACCACTCTTTGCTGCTCGCTCACTGCCAAAAAATTAACGTTTTGAATATTAGGATTCTTTCTTCTTTTCAGTGGAGTGTCACGGCAAAGATAAAACAATTAATTGAAGTATATTTTCTTCTACAATACCTTCCAGCCAAGTCAACAAGATTAATTTTGCTCGTTATTTCACTTGGCAGTCCAGAGACGAACTTTGCTTGAGTATACTTGATTGTGAATATAGCATGCGATCTACTACTGTGGTCGTTCATTTTTGTTGCTGCCGTTTTTCTGCAGGAAAAGGCTGAGTTTTAAATGATCGTCATATAGTCTTAAATTACACATATTTCTGGTAGACTTTGACGAAAGTAAAGTGTTGATAATATGATAAAAACAAACCTAAGCTGATTTCCTTGGTTTAATAAGGATTCAATTGCTGAGTAATCTGGTGCATCATGTTTCGTTAGACCTGAGACGAGAAATTATAAATGTTAAGTTAAAACATGCATTTGATTTTCGTCTTCTGCGGTCGGTTGTATCAAGCCCGTTTAGCTTAAACGGTGGATAAGTCAAAATTCAATAATACTCTTACAACTCTCTTGAATGAGTCAACTTGAATATTATGTACTGAAAATGTAGTTGTAAACAGTATCTTTGTATTAAGGTTGAAAACATTTAGTTTGCTTGTTGAATAAAACGATAGACTTGCTTTCTATTTTGAACTTATCCACCGTTTAAGCTAAACGCGCTTGATACAACCGGCCCCTGCAAGACAAGGCGAATGATAGTTGCGTATTACGCTCGTAATTTTTACGGTCTACCCTCTGTGTTTGAAAATTAATACAATAACTACCGCATGGTACCAAAACTTTGACATTACTAGAGGTATATCACTAAAGTATAACTTACCTTGCACATAAGGTCCATCCTTAGGATGTTCTCGTACTCTCAGTCTTGCAGGTAATATATCACGTTTCTTATGACTTGGGATTCTCAACAGGTCAAGCACTTGTTCATTGTAGATTTCTAAATAACTGTGCAAAAAACGAATCCGTTGATATTCACATGCGCGTTTTCAATCAATCATCGTGATGTTCTCCAAAAAATTATAAATTAGATAAGTGAATTAGTACCTCACTTCAATCCTGAATGATTCTTGATCATTTGAATTAACTGAGGCATGTTTGTACAGGCCCTAAATTAAAATATTTCAATGAATTCTGGGGTAATTAGAATAAATTCAAAAGTAATCATGGAGTAATTGGCTGCAATCTAAGAGCAGTAAGAACTATTTCTAGATGAGAAAATACACTCCTTTACCTCACATATTCTTGGAGTTAGTCCAGGATCATTCTGTAGTATAATAATAAAAAATTAACTATAACTTTAGAAGAAGGCACTGAAACATCCAACCCAATGACAGTACCTGTGTTCCCATCATTGTATATGTTTTACCAGCTCCTGTCTGACCATATGCAAATACGCAAGCATTATATCCTTCGAATGCTGCATCCAATACCTTTGTACCAAGATCTTGAAATACCTGCATTTATCATTGATTGCATGGAGTTAAACCTACTACAATTAAAACAAATATAATAATTGAAGAATGCTTTGTAATTTACCTGTTCTTGTGATGTAAAATGTTGATCACTCTGTGCTACTGACCAGTACGAATAATCATACACAAATCGTTTAGTTGAAGGTTTATTGTTCACTGGAATGCGAGTGTTCTCTAAGCTGTGATACTGCAAAGATGAATGCATAAATTGTATTTGTTAATTTGCTAGCATGTGTATAGAAGAGTTGTAGAGAAGATTATTTTGTGCTTTGGTCATATTAAGAATCTGGAGAGAAATTAACATGGGATTTTTTATATGGACAGTTTAAAAGGGAGGCAGGGTTTTATATGCACAAAGATTGAGTAGATTATGATTGCAGCCTGTACATAGCTTTATAACAGATGTTCACCCAAGTAACAACTAATGCAAAGACAATGTAAAATGCACAGACAGGCACTTAATTATGCAAGCCTTACAAAAAATGAATATTGATCACTGCCAAATCTGCATAATGACTGCTACTTCATATTCAAGTATTCAAGAGGCCCTCCAACTGTTAATGAATACAGCGAGCACATGGACGTAGCCAATATCTGCTTTTTGTAAAACTCATGGTTGCATTTTGCTGGACTATTCCAAATACTGCTTTAAACTTAGCTCAACTGAAGCAACATAAAAACAAAGCCTTGTTTTGTGTATGTTTTCTTTGTTTCAATAATTACAAGCCACTTTGCCAGCATGATAGATTATCTATTGTCAGTTTGTGTCATTGTGTTTTGACGTATTTCATACATTATATTGGGTTGGGATATGCAACAGGAATAATCTTAACTTGACAGGGTTATTCCGTGAGGATTTTGCTAATATCTTTAGATAACCCAGTCAAGTTAGATTATTCCTGATATATAAACATTAAACAAATGGTTCCATCTACAGAATAAATCCATATTATCAATGTAATCATGTGTTGCACAATTGATTATTTTTATCATAATATAGTAAGGTTTAAGAAGTTAAAAAATTAACATGACTCGAGTCCTGTGCCATGAATATCTCCTCTAAACAAAGATAGCGCATGACATTCATATTTCATCGTTTAATATTACACTGAATGTTATTAAAATATCGCGTTTCTGACCTTATTTGACTCAATGGTTGTTTGGTTTCCAGACATGCTAATAATAACCTTTGAGTTAGACTCCTTTTCCCTGTCAAAATAACCAAGATAAAAGAGTCAAATTAATCCCTTATCAATTTATTATCATGGATACATTTGAAATTCGTTTAGAAAAACTTACCTTTCATTGGGTAATCTCGCAGTGCTCGGAAGCTGTGTTGGCATTGGCTGTTAGCTGAAGGAGTTTTCCCTGAGCATATTTTTGAAATTAATAATTAAATGAGTACGAACAATGAACATCAGAAATTCGGCGGTGACGGTATTCGTCCTAAGTGGTTGCAATAGTTGCAATGGTTACAATGGTCGCCGTGGTCGCCGTGGATGCGATGGATGCGATGGATGCGATGGGTGCGATGGTTGCCATGGGTACGGTGGATGCGTTGGTTGCGATGATGGTTGCCATGGATGCCATGGATGCCATGGATGCGATGGATGCAATGGTTCCAATGGTTGCGATGGTTGCGATGGTTGCCATGGATGCCATGGATGCCATGGATGCGATGGATGCAATGGTTCCAATGGTTGCGATGGTTGCGATGGTTGCGATGGTTGCCATGGATGCCATGGATGCAATGGTTGCGATGGTTGCCATGGATGCCATGGATGCCATGGATGCGATGGATGCAATGGTTGCGATGGTTGCGATGGTTGCCATGGATGCCATGGATGCCATGGATGCAATGGTTCCAATGGTTGCGATGGTTGCGATGGTTGCGATGGTTGCGATGGTTGCGATGGTTGCGATGGTTGCCATGGTTGCGATGGATGCGATGGTTGCCATGGTTGCGATGGTTGCGATGGTTGCGATGGTTGCGATGGTTGCGATGGTTGCGATGGTCGCTGTGGTTGCGATGGTCGCTGTGGTTGCGGTGGTTGCGATGGTTGCGGTGGTTGCAATGGTTGCGGTGGTTGCGATGGTTGCAATGGTCGCTGTGGTTGCGGTGCGGTGGTTGCGATGGTTGCGGTGGTTGCAATGGTTGCGATGGTTGCGATGGTTGCAATGGTTGCGGTGGTTGCAATGGTTGCGATGGTTGCAATGGTTGCAATGGTTGCGGTGGTTGCAATGGTTGCGATGACTGCACGGTGACCCCCAATTTTGTTTTCGTGCATTATTTTACTTAGAAGAAAAACTATCAAATAGCAAAATATAAAAAAAAATTATATAATGCCACATTTTTGTTGAGAAAAAAAAGCCACCTTAACAAATTATCAATAAAAATTATCGCGTTCAAATTGTCTCGCCAATTTGGCCTGTTATTGTTTTTCTGCGCTGTTGCTGCCGAGTCGCTACAAGTTTTTTTCTGGAGGCTGAATAATTTTTAAAAAAACCTTTTTGCAATGGAAAACATCGAAAATGAGGTCAGTGTAGTACTTTTCTATATTTAAAATACATATATATATATATATATATATATATTGATGCCTGTATTATATAGATTTACACATTTAATGCTTCTGTTTTGCTCGATTGATACCTTTCTGAAATATTATAAAACCTATTTGCTATATTTTCCCATCGTTTGACATAACAAATATCGTAGAGAAAAATTGTCGATCTGTATGTATTATTGAATGTGATTTATGAAAACTTTAGGTTTAGTATTTATATACAAGAGTAATTGGGTTATTTTTTAATTTCAAATACGGTTGGTTCTTTTCGTAAAAGCGATGGGACTTCGAAATAGCGCCATGCAATCGTGCAAGAATATTAACATGTGGAATACTAATGAGCAAATTGGCTCACTATTGATCATGTGACCGGTGTCCTTTTTTATTTAGAAGTAAAATAGATGAGTATGGATAGATTTTGTAAAACGTTTTACCTAAGTAGAACTTTCAGTAAATATTTTTTTTGTAAAATTCTTGTTAAAATTGTTAAAGCAAACGTTTAAACACTCTAAAAGCAGAGTGGGCAGTAAACCAGATAGCATGGGTTTCGGAATGAACAAATTTACCGGCAATTTGGAAAAGTCGGACTTATAATTTCATCCTTTACTTTTTTTCGACTGACTGATTTTAACAATTAGCCAAACTTTTCGACTTCTAAACTTTGACCCCCCCCGCCCTGAGATACAAATTCGCGGCATTAATGCTAAGTACGCTTCACAAATCACAAATAAAATAGCAATTAGCCTTTACGGAGGTATGTGGCAATTAGCCTTCTGATGATGACGTTTTGGGGTACTTTCAATTTTCTGAAATGCGTTTAAAAATTATGATGCAACATCAAAAGCGTTTTTCAGAACCAACAGACCATTTGAAGAATAAATTCAGCCTGAAATTAAAGACAGTTGCCCTTACGAGTTCTTACGCTCAGTGTTTTGAAAAAAGTACCCCATTTTGGGAAATCATTCGTCATCGTGAGAAAGGCTAATTGTCTTTGACTTAGTGGTAATTACTACAATTCGTTTAATCCTTAAATTTGACGAAACTATGCGGTGAATGACCGCTTCGTTTCATTCATATAATTTTCATATTCATAGTTGCCATCTTTCATTTCACTATATAATATTTAGTTGGAACAGGAGTTCGTAGTGCGTGATGGTAAGACGTACATGGTGGAAGATGGCGAACTCGTTTTTTTGGTGATTTTATGTTGAAACTGCTAGGCGAAATAAAAAATGTACCAACACCAGAGGCAACTGCTAATGCGGAAGGGGTAGAAGGGTACTGGGTAGCGTCTTGTGGTGTTTTTACCGGTGACAGAATATCGTATAGGTACGTACTATTAAAATATTAGTGTCACTTCGTCTCAATCTTTTTGTTATTCGCGGCTCCGAACATAAGTTAACATCCAATTCAGATACGTGTTTTCGTTGCGTCTTACAGGCTACAGACTATTTCGTTTTCCTTGGAAAATTCCAGTTGTTAAATAGTAAAATATTCTTGATGGCCGCCAGTATCAGTGGACGTGCATATAGTATATTCATCTATTTAATATAGGACTGTTGTATTGTCTGCTGGAACGTTTGACACGAAGTGCCGTTTTCTCCAAGAACTGCGCAAAAAATTTGGTGGAGGAACGTTCAACCTTGCTGGCAGTGTTGGAGGCAGCAGACTAGCTGACTACTACAGCCACTTAAAAAACGACGTCGGGAATGCGCCTCCACGTTTCTATAAAGCGACCCATCTAGGTTACCAAAAAGATGGATATTGGATACTTTCTAAAGATGTATGACATTTTACAATGCATTATAATTGTGCCAAGTTTTGTAAATAAATCATTTACGATACCTTTCATCGTTCGACATTTATATGGAACAAAGGTCGTCATAAGAGTTGATGTCGTGATTCTGAACAGTTCAAGGACTGTCACTTCAGTTCAGTTCATGGATGCGTCCTTTAATTATGTTTTTATGTATTTATAGCACCACATTGAAAACGGTCGCGTACTACAAAAGGAAGAATTCAAGTTCTTTTTACTGGATGAATCCGCATATCGGTTTTCGACAGATATGAGATACGATCTCCTTGAAAACAACGGGGTGCTTAAGACCTTTTGCAGAAGGTAAGTGCAGTATGTGAGATAGATGAAAAGCTATGTCGAAGATAATTTTATTATGAATATGTTTCATTTCAATATTCCTTTTTATACTTATATTAAGATATATTGCGCTTGCTGAAGGTTTCGCCAGTAACTCAACAGCGTTTAAGTTAGCCACCTCTTTTGTTCTGCTGCGGAATTTGAGGGGAATGGACAAAAGTACATTTAGTGAGTAGTACTATTAATGCACTCAAAGGATTGCTATATTCATTAAGTATATAATATAGCATGGGGTTGTGTGATCTGCTCACCTTCTCGTTAATCGATAATATTTTTAGAGGAAAGCAATATTGGATTGCTGTATTCCAGTGCACGGAACGTCGGCAAATCCGAGACGTTGAGTTTGTTGGCCAATGCACAAGGATTGCCTGCCGATCGCAATCATTCCCTGCTCTGCTCAGGTGGCGATCAAACCATGAGCGGTACATCCATGTACGTATAGAAAAAAAATAATGAGCCTTATCGCTTATGTTATTGTTATGTTACTCAAAATGCACAGGATATCAATTTGATCGATAGCATGGACTTTACGTTTAATACAAAACCTTTTCAGAAAAGCTATAATGCTAGCACTCAAGAGCTCGTCGTTCACCTGTATGATGGATGATGCAAAAATGACAGACTCTTTGGCTGAGTTTCTTCTGCAAGTCCAAGGTGGCCTTCCACAGGGATCAATGCTCAGCGGAATTGCGTCTCCTGTGGGCAGTGTTTTGCTGTCGGCTAACGAAAAGGAGAACGAAAGGTTCGGCTTATAGCATACTTCTTTTAGATTGTAACTAATGTCGGTTCACTCTTTGAGGTCTCTCTGTCAGCGAGGTTTTCTCGGTTTCCTCTTTATAGCCTAAATCACGCCCTGCCTGTATATAAAAAGCATCACAATTAGTATTAATTACATTTACATACGTGTTCTTTTAATTGCAAATGCCCTTACAACAAAACTGCTAAGGCTATATTACTATTGGTTTTATCCAGAGGGTATCTCTCTATAAATAAATGAGTGACCCATAAAATGCAGGAAGTAATAAGTATTAAACCGTCGCCTCGGTAAGAATATACTGCGTTTGATATTTCGGCCTCGGGCAAAATCCCTTCGTATATCTTTCATGTATAAGACTATCGTGTCAATGACATAACTGTATTGGTACCAACCTCCTATTACATGTATATCCGTATAGATTAGATGGCCGTGTTATTCGTTTCGAATATGTAAAGGATGAACAATTTGGAGAAGAACACGAACAAATGCTGGAAGAGCTGCAATCATTAGTAGAAGCAAATATGGTTCGTATTATCCAGCATTCTTTATAATATAAACTACCATCATCACTTTTGTATAAACAAATGATCCCACTGGCACCAATCTTAGAGAGACAGAAAAAAAAATAAAAAGAATATTTCAGAGCATTTTCAAATGAAAAAACGCTAATTCAGATGACGGTCTGTGGTGATGTTTTTCAAAATTACTATCTCCTACTCTCAGAACAATTTTATCATATTGCAATAAAGGGGTTCGTGGTTGCTTGGATTACAAGATATCACAATATCTGGAAAAGAGGCATAACAGACGGCAACATCAAAACTATAAAGATGACGCTGAAGAAAATAGTGCCAGGGAGAGACCAGCGTTGGTATAAAGGAGCTTCCCTGGTCATATACACTTACGCAACGGTTAGTCCAAATTCGATGTTATATGTATATGAGGTGAGAACTGCCATTTGTTGTGTCATTATAATTATTTCTTAGCAAAATATAGTAAAATGTTACATTAAACACCTATTATACATATTTAGTCAAAAAACCTTTACTAGCAGACAATTTTGTGAAAACATATTACGAGAATTAACATCTTGTAAACTCAAGATGTTAACAAGACACAATATTAATTGCGATATTATCTCTTTTAAAGTTATTGTCAAACCAAGTTTGTATTGTATGTATCAAAATCACGCTTTCTATGACAATTCTTACAATTTATTCACTTTGTAGTTTCATGTGGCTGCAGGGAAAGAGGTGGATTTGAGAAAAGCATTTTTACAACTTGCCTCCACTGCCAATAAACAGGAAGACGAATTGCCTTTTCTGGAAAGACTTCAAGAAGAAATTCAGTCTAAACTGGAGGAGGGAGAAGCAAATGTTAGATTTGATAAATTTCTTTAACAATTTACTTGGTGATGTGCATTGACCTGCATAATACATCGAACATTTCATATATTATAATTTATACCTTGGCGATGTTCTCCAGTTATGTTTTTCAATTTCGTTTACAGGCGGCATTGAAGTGGATAACGCCACACACTAGTGTAAAATGCAGCGGCACGTTCCAGCCAGCGTTCGGCCTAGCTATCTCAGTTCTAGAGACTTTTGCCAGCATAAGAAGAGAGGTAATACACAAAATGCATTCGCACAAGCAATTCTCTTGAACCAGAGGCAGAGGCGTCTAGGCAAATAAAATGTGTAACCTCATATATATGGCTACTATATATAATATAAACCATATTTTAAAAATATTTATAAAGTTATGGAACTCGTGGCGGAACATGCAGCATATTTCACATTGTTAACATTTCATTTTATTAATTTTACAGGAGATTCAACGAGAATTGTTAAAGTTGTGCGACACGGGAAAAACACAGACGCTGTATTTCGCAAAAAGCAGCGAAACAACCATAGCAGATCTGAGACAACGAAATCAGAATCTCTCGCGTGGTGCAAAAGGCATAAAAATTCCTAAACACGTGCTTGATAAAAACCTTGTTAACGAAGTAGAATGTGGTAAGTCTTAATATATATATTATAAACTACAAAGTGAATACTATTTAGTATAAATTTCGAGGTAACTATTCATATTCCTGCATTCTGATTGGTCAAGATTCACTGTCACTGAAGCGATAGTCACTAGCTGGCCCGTGAATATGTTGTTGTAATTTAACTAAGAAATTTGAAGTAATTATACGTTTTTATAAAACTATGTTGATTATTATTTGTAAACTCCTCGAAATTTTTACTAAAACAATTATATAGTCGCCTCATACAGGCTCGGTGATTACAAGCCAATATTCACTTCGCCTTCAGCTCAGTGAATATAGGCTTGTAATCACCTCGCTTTCGGCGACTAATTGTTAAATATTACCATGCAAGTAGAATGTGGTAAGTCGCATAATTATATTATGAATTCTTACCTGATTGTATAGCATGTGGTGTACTTGGCGTGGAACAAGGTGAACGATTTCAAGTTAGCCGAAGGCGTAGCAACCAAGCGCAAATAGACGAGACAGTGGAAGATTTAATCGAAGTCACTATTGAGTCAATACGCCAAATCTTTGCAGGTATTCCTATTGATAGTATTTTCTCCTTGTTGATACGATTTTACTGCATACAAACGGAAAAATATATGCAAGCAATAATGCCACTTTGCCATTTAAAGATGATAACCATGACGTCCATTCAGAAGAGCAAGAAGTAATTACTGAAAACCTATCAGAGCACATTACAGACGTAAGTTAGTAGAACAAATTCTTTTTAGAATTAAGTATTGTGCATTTCTGTGTTATCGTTATTGTCAACAATTGTTAACGAAGACCTTACTAAGGAATACCAGTCAAAATGGTAAATAATATACCGATTATACATGCACCTAGATTTTATACTCTTAATAAAAAAACTTTGTAAGGCTTTCTCTAAATATATTTATAGAATATGTCACCAAATTCCAAGAGAAAGTATGATATTCTCACTCCCAGAAAGCGAAAAGTCTTCATTCAGGTACGTGCATGGATTATGATATGCAGGGCCGTCGAGAGAATTCGTGGGCCCCGCGAAAAGTTGTTGAGGCAGAACGCAAGAATTAACATATAAATTGAAATAAAAATAGCTCAAAACTACTGCCGAAGTATTCAATCAAAACCATTTATCGATTAATCAATGATTAGCTAGTATATGCGTTATAACTTTGCAATTTATGATTATTCTCTAAAATGTGGTGATTATTCTCTAAAGGGTGTTGAAAGCGGAATGCGAATAGCAAACAAACAATACGAGGGACATGACAGCGACCAAGGTATATACATTACAATTTAGTCTGATTCGTGTTGAACTATACTGTGTCTAGGTTAGGTTGGCATAAAAAATAACACATTATTTCTTATCCATGTAAAGATGGCGAAAAAGGAGATGATGATGAAAATGATGATGAAATTGATGATAAAAATGATGATGAAAACGATGACGAAAACGATGATGAAAATGATGATAAAAATGATGATGAAAATGATCATGAAAATGATCAAAATGATGATCAAGGTAATAACGAAATGGATGAAATAAATGCAAATAACATGACATAACAAGAGCTCGAGTAGGACAACTGAACATTACGCGCGTGCCTTTAAGTTGCATCATTCGTATTTCGTAGCTATATAGTATTAAAAATACTATACTTCTATAACTATATTGACTTCTTCAATCCTTTAAGATATAGCGCCTGATTGTGTTGGGGTTTTCACCCAAGAAAGAAGTCAAAATACTTATAAGAGTAGTAAGTATACAAGATATAATAGCTTTTGTATTTCTACCGTTTTTATTTTTATTTTCTGATCTATTCTTCAATGGGACAGTAGTAAATCGGCTGTATTACTTATGTGAATGTATGATAACATTCAAATTGTTAACATCAATGATTGCACTCCATACTTTATTTTCTCCTTATTTTACCCCTTCAGACTTTTATAATGTAACACAACAACATTTTACAAAATTTAAAATAAGCAATACGCAGTTTATGGGAACGATTAGGCATAACAGGCATACACTATTTTGAGAAATATTAATGTAAAAACGTAACTATGCACTTTTATGCATAGACGGAAGAAGGGCGCTGTTCACAGAACCTGTATCTGGAACAGTTGGGGTTCTGAGAAGAGATACAGAGACGCTGTCAAATGATGGTAAATATAAAAATAATATGCAATTTCATAGAATCAAATCCGCCTTGCAGAAATTAGTATTATTAATAATGCTAATAGAACGATTTTTAAACGTATAAAAGTTTAATAGAACGTATTTTAAACAACTCTTCAAATATGTGTGCAGTTTAAAATAATTTTTATTAACGTGCTGTACAGCTATAAGTCATTATATACCATAGAATGTAATTATTGATTGTTTTATACGCTCATATACAGGGTGTCTAAAAAAAAACGCAACCACTTAAATATGCAAGAATATTAATATTGTTCGGGTTTGCACCATAGTTCAGCTAAAATTACTTCTAGCATTGTAAATGAGGATCAAGCGCCATTTTCAATTCCCAGAGGTGCGTATCTATTGCGCTTTAGAGCTGTATTAATGTTCTGCATATTTAAGTGGTTGCGTTTTTTTTGAGACACCCTGTATATGATGTGCACTTCACTAGTACGATCTGTAGGTGACTATTGTATCGTTAATTCGTTATATTGCCCTGTTAAACTTATTTGAATTTCATCTCTAAACATTAAGTATCCAATGATGACGAATCTGTGTGTGATACTTGTGGGCAAGATGAACCCCCAGAGGATCTAATTTATGGCAAGGCGGTAAATTGGGTTGGCTGTGATAAATGTTGTAAATGGCATCATTGGTAAGTACAATGTGCATTATGTGCGGCCGTGAAATAAGTATAATATAGTTTTGTAATTACAGTGAATACATGTGAATTGTCACTTCATTAGTTCAGCTTGCTCCAAAATAAGCCTGTTTTCCACAAGGCAGAGCGGAGCGGAGCATGAAAGCACGCAGACAATGAAAAATTCCTCTCCGCGCGTAAAATTCCGCCCAGTGGAAAACCGGCGGGCTTAAGTGACCCACTACATGATGCCCTGCATTTTTTTCTATATTTTACAAAGAAAACATTTCTATTTCATTTTATAGTGTGTGTGTTGGTATAAAACGTAAACCAGCTTCAAACAAAGTATGGTATTGTAAATACTGCATGCCATGATATATCATGTTTTGATCTGGATGGCAAGCATTGTGTATAAACGGGCCTAATAATTTACATTAACTGGTACATAACATTGTACTTGATGGTATATCTAACTTTCACTCATTGTTAATAACAACAAAACGTTGAAACCTGTCTCTTTTCAGTTCCTGATTTGGTTTCAAATTAGCAGCTGCCAGCTGCCTTTGCTTTTTCACAATATCTTCATTTTGGAAGTAGTCCATGAGGTAATTGTAAAAAAAGTGAGTGCCAAATTCCTGCACACATGAACTTCTGAGTCGACGGATGTTTTTCTGTTATTCTCACATTCCTGGTAGCTTGTCTTGATGGTATTTGATTGCAGGAGAAGATTAATATCGTGATAATCACATAAAGGAGACTTGTGCGGGTTCGCAGAATTATGAAACCTATCACCAAGTACATATCTTCTTGCATTCCCAGTAATTGGATGCTTAAATGTCCCATCATCATAGCAGGTTGCTTCTGTGGCCTCACTCCTATACTCGGCAGTAGCAAGCACTGGCACACTGTTATCCTATAAACAGATAGTAACATCTCGATAGACACTTCCCAAATTCGCTATATTGCGATGATTGTGGCAATCGTCAAAGGTAAATTACTATTGCGTCGGACAGATTCAAAAATACTAGTAGAGTACCTCATATATTAATTATGTGTTGAATATTATAAGCATATTATAAATGTCAAATGACCTTAGCAGGAGGTTTCCCCAAAGTTGGTTCTTCAAAACATCCAGAAAATTTTCCCCATAGCTGATTTGCTACTTCTGGAACACGGCAATCCATATGGCGAGCGAAACCGCATGCTGTATCACACAGGAACATCAAAGGTGGATATTTGAAGGAAAGGTAGAGGTCTGCAGCATCTCTCACAGATTCTTGCAGAGTTAAGAATTTCGAAGCAGCGGTCACCTTATAAGAAAAATGATGCAATTATGCATTTTAACAATCAGTATATATGGTTGATATTAACTACACTACAAGTACTGACTGCAGTTTATTAAATATTTACTCACTCCATGACGACAAACTATATGGTAAAAACCACCAGTTTGACCAGGAACTTTCGTAAAGCCATGACAGGGGCTTGATCCCACCAATAGTGTTTCATATAAGGTCTGCAATGCAACACGCATTTTTTCCTGTAGAGTAGAAATTGAAATAGATATTATGAATTGACTATTCAACTTTTATATGTTCTGTTCTATGGCTACCTCTGAGTTCCAATGTAACAGCAGTATATTGTTTAATTGCTAACCACGAAAACATCTCCCCGCTCATCCGGTAGTACATATTATATGTAATACTCGCATGTTTAAAACTCTGAAAAACCACTCACCATTGACTTCCCCCCGATTGGGATTCGACAATCTTGGCAAAAGGACTTCAGCGATGTTTCATCAAGCTCTCTTAACTTGGTCATATCCAATTTTCCTTCTCGAATAATGGAATGCAGTAATGCAGGATCACCTGGAGAACAAGTTAGTGCTGTATATTAGTAAACATATTCGAAGGCAATTATTGCACACCGCGTATGTGCTTTAAAGTCTCTTACTGTGCTCTTGATTAATCTTTTGATAATAGACAATAGTAAGGTGCAAGTAAAATTTATGTATATAATATTAACTGATTTAGCGAACTTTGTTGTAGATTCTCAAATTGGGCTAAAATAGTTGAACGTTAGATGGTCGATGCTAAGCGATAATTACGTAATTCACTGTTTATTTGGCCTGGGAGCCTCGCTTTCGATTAGTTAAACATTCAAGTATATACTATAAGGATGGTTTCAATTCATTAAGCGAAGCTCGCGGGCCAATTGACCGGTGACGTGATTATCGAAAGGGAGTATTGAGGTAAAGGGAGGAATATTCATGAAGCTGTTTTGCATTACTGTTTGGCTGATGAAATTGAACATCTAATAGAATATGCCTTACTTAATTATGTCTCTGAACTTAAAAGTCGCCTCAAATAGTGGAAACGAGTTACAATAGAAAAACAAACCTTTTGTGCTTTTATTCTCTTTCAGAAATGTGCTGTTCTTCTGTAGCTCTGTGTTATACAGGCGGGTGCCTCTCATTGACGGAGCAATTACAGGTGGGATATCAGCCACGTGCACTTTGAATTTTTCTGCTGTTTTCGTATATGAGGTGCTTTCTACCCACCGCCGTTTTATTTTATTTAAAAAGGGTTCCAATGTCGGGGGCGAACTTTCAGATACATTTTCTGGTTGCGTATAGTCTATCTATACCAAATGATACGAAATGCGTGACTCCTTTTAATGGCTATCGAATATCGATACATCCCGAAGCTAGGTATACAAATATTTGATACTTATATAATGTCCCTTTGAAGTTCTTCAATCAGTTGCTGATAATTTCAATAGTTATTATTTGACAGGAAAGAGTGAATTACCTGGCCAATACCGCAACAGTTTTTTTCATTTCCATCGCCAAAGTACACATTTCCGATGACACCGCATATCCCACATACAACAGAATCTAAATCACGGTCAGTGATAGCCTCGAAGCAGTAGTAGCCATTGTAAATGTAGTTTGCCAAGTTTTCAATTACATTTCGTTCAGGCGGCTCCTGTAAGGAATTGACTCACTGGTATTAAACAGTTTCACGGCAATTAGACTGCTTATAACAGTATCAGTGATCGGATAACCGTTTGTATGTGTCATCAACATATATCATCAGTGTTGAAAGGTTATTCAGTCAGGCAGTTAGTCTGGTATAAGACGAATATATATCGTTAATCGTTAGTAGCTACACGTATGTAAATGACTATCTAACCGCAATAAAGGTTAGTTAAACGACCGAAGAATATGCTACACCTTCCAATAATCAACATCGCTGATCCAATATTGATGGCAATATTAGTTTGGGTATCAATTATCAGAATATATGTTTATCTATTTGAAACACTATAGGAATACTTACTGCAGCCCTTTCTGCCATCGCATTAAGTTTGCTTATTATCGCTATTGAGATTGGAACTCCTTTTCTAAATAATTCTCTCCATTCCAGCAAAATTTGAAACGGGACTAGAATCTTGTCGCTTATGTTGAAAAGACCTGAAAATGAAAGAGGTAATTGGAAAAATATGCATCTCGGGAGCTTACCCTTAACCCTAGAAACCAAAATCAACGCAGCTCAACGGGCTCATATATAAGCAGTCCATGAACATATTTTCTGGTCCATGACATATTGTGGGTCTTATTTTTAGTAGTTAGGTAACTAGTACTGCATGTGAACTTACACTTTTATAACAAATGTTGTTTGTCACTGTAATAAATGCCCGCTTTGCCCTCGAGAACGCTTGTTCACACGGCCCGTTTCTTTTTGGCTGGATCTGATACCTCACTGACTTGTCAGTATCCATGGAAAAAATCAGTACCCAAAAAACGGGTCGTGTGAATAGGCTTCAAAACGTATTTTTATCAACAAGAATTAAAGAAACTACTTAAACATACCAAGCTCATACGGGAAAATTTGATTCATTGCTGAGCAGTTAGTGTTGGTGCACATTTTCACGCGAACTTTTATCTCTTTAAAGGGATTCAACTCCGTCAACAAATACGATTTCCCTCTAGAACCATGGTGTGCTTTCCCTTCCCCAAGAGGACTACTACATAAACCACATAATGTTTCCGATGGCTCAAGGATTTCTGGCCACCCAGCAGGTGACGAATCTATTACTCCTGGTTTGCAAATGATCTCTTTTGGAATGGGAGTAGGCAGTGAACGTTTCATGTTTAGCTCAATTGTATTTGAGCGTGACAGGCTTTCCGAAACTTGTTGGTGGTCTTCATTCTCGGCGTTGACGGCATTGTGCGTAGGTTCGTCGTTGGCGTTGCCCATCGCAGGTGAATCTTTCTTGACAATACCCAAGCACAGGAGCATATGCACGTGAATGCAGAGACACTTCGATTTCAGTTGTTTGCTCTTTCCTATCATCATCTTGCAATCTTTCGAACAGCATCGCACAGTGGTCTCCGTCACTCGGACATGGCAGTATCCAACTGGGTTGTTAGCTGTCGGCTTTCCAAAAACGCAGTACATTGTTGGGGAAACCTGAACTGCAATGGGTAAATGTTCGCCGCATGTCGTTTTTACTTCGGTCAGTGCAGCTTTTGTTGTTAAATCACACGGATATGCCTCCAGCACCGGGAAGTTGATGTATTTTGCCAGCGGTTCAATGGAGTTCTTCACCTTTTCCAGATGTTTGCATTCAAAACTTGCCAGTTGGTCGCTGTTTACTAGAACAGCCCGCATGTCCTTGCACTCTGGGTGATGACAAATTTTTCCATTCTTTTCAATCACCAGCAAACATCTGTCGTCGTGACAGCTGGTCTTTGATGAATATATTGCCATTTCTCCTTTAAGTATTTCAGTGCATTCTGGTATTGCCAAACGCGCTTTCTTTCTTGGAATATATGTGCCACCCAGATCGTAGTTGCACGTTGGGCAGTTCGGTGGCTTATATCGGTTAAAGTAAGTAGCATGGCATTGAGGACAGCTACTTGCCCCTCGCTTGGTACTCGTTTTTATGGCTGAGCCTGAGGCTGAGCTCATAGCGACAACCCTAAGAAAAAGAAAATATAGTTGCGGCACACGACATCTACCGGGTACTACACATACAATGTACTTTTTAGGTATGCCAATAGATATAAAAATGTTGGGAGATTTGAAGAAAAAATGCCTGTTCAAAAATTTGAATGTTAATGTTGAAAGCCGACCGAAATTCGGCTTCAGTTTCCATCCTTCCATCTATTCTGTATTTCAGTGGTGTAAACATAGTCTTTTCATGATTTATTTGTCGATGATATATAATTCTTTATTCGGAATACAAAGACCCTGCATGATCTACGATCTATCAACACCGTGTCGCCGACATCTAAATTCCGAAATATTGGTATAGACTGTTTATTTTAAAACACTGTTGTCTTTTTTTCCTGTGCATATATTACAATACAGTTACACTAGCTGTAAAAATGTGTACAACCAAAAAATTTCATTTTTGCTGAATCTCAACAATAAAATCTCGATTACTATTTCATGATTACAGACTTGTACATGTGTGATTGTTTTCGGCAACTTCAGCCAACGAGAGATTTTCAAATATACAGGCTTTCGAGCGGCTTATGTCCAAAAAGGCTTTGAGGAGAAATAGCATTTCCTGTGCTGTACATATTTTACTCACTAAATTAAAAGCTATCGTTATGCTTTAAAAAGGAAAACACGCATCTACTTGATCAGTTGTTTACAACGTCGTAAAATAAAAGAAGAGAATTTACTTACCTAAAGTTTAGTTATACTCCGATCTCGGTTCCCAAGGGCGTAGCTAACACGATGAAATAGAAAATCTTTAGTTTGAAAGAAATATTTTCCGATCACAATTCAAAAAAAGGCAAGTTTATCAGCTTGGATTACATAACAACTTCCGAAAACGAAGAATGCGGTCGAACAGAACACGTGCAATTCCAAACCAATGATTGATTGACAGCGTTATGATTGACATCTATTCTCAGATCTCTGTAATTATCGCCATGCACATTCAAAAACATTCAAGCAATTACGTCGCTACATTATACATACGTACATAAATACGGATAGTACGAACTAATGGGGCTTTATTTACCCATTTATACAAGAAGTATTGCAAATTAGCAATAAAAACGAATAAAAATTCAGAATCTCAAATGTTCCATTCCGCGTTTTAGACTGCCATTTTGGGTGTTTCTGACTTTATTTCTTGCAATTTCCTGAAGGAAGATTATTACTTTGGATCATTACATGGCTATTTTGATAATATATACACTCAAGTGTAACGGGCCGAGCTGCCTGAGACACACACACGTTGAATTCAGTTTCTAAGAGTCTTTATTTCATTCTCGTGCTCCCTATATACATGTGCTCAAGACTGTCATATCTAATTACAATGGTGCACTGTTACATTATCTAATTACAATGGTGCACTGTTACATTATCTACTACCAGTACAATAGTGCACTGTTACACAAGACCTTCACTAGGGAGGGGCATAAAGCTGTCGCAGAGGACAAAGGGCAGTGATTTAATGAAAACAAATTTCAATTCAAAACCATATTAACATAACATTCCAGAGTTCCAGTAATAGAAACAAAAGGGTGTTACTGGACAACAGGCCTCAAAGATCTTTAATACATTTTAACCATGGTTAATCAAGGGATACTGTTCATCCTTCAACCAACTGTGATTTAACAGATGGAATTTCATCCATACCTTGATATTTTAATTATCCAAAATTGGACAATTAAATTGATAAAAGTGCCAAAGTCCCCATCAACCAGTAATAGGTAATTAATTGTCCACTGTAATTAATTACCATAAGCTATAGTGTTTGGTACAGATAATTTTACTCACCAATGGAATAACTATAGAATACCCCACCATGAATAAAACACGTTTTAGTAAATGACCCCACATCTCTAAACTTTATGAAAATCCATATATTATAAAGTATGATTTTATATGAAATGTTAAAAGAAAACAAATCAATAAATAGTTATTCATTTCTAGTGTATGAATTAGTTATTTGAATAGACAGTTAAATAACCTTGTGGGGTATTCTATAGTTGTGCCTTTTGGAATTAATATACTTATAAGCTTTAATGTTTCACTTTATGAACTAGTTGGCCTTATAGGTAAATTATAGTTTTTAACTTTTTATAGCAATTTTCAACACCAACTCGCAACGAACGCAACAATGTTTCGAAAGAAGTTTACGCGTGACCAATTTTAACACAAAAATTATTTCAAAAACATGTAGAAGGTTATGAGCTGTTTTTTAATCGACACAACATTGTTTTTCCAATTTTTTGCTCATTTGTAAGTTGATGTGAAAGTGTAACAACGCCTTTAATATAAATATCGGGCGATACTGTAATAAACAAAAGTGTATATATTATAGTCGCTGAAAATATCGCTGAAATTTCATCCACACGTTAAGATTCCACAACTGTTAACATCCATAACCACTAAAAAAGAGCCAAAAATAACAGACAAGCAACCACTCGTTCAAAATCTTGATATTAATTTCGTGAATACTGGTCGTGGTACTCGATTGATATTGGAATAATTCGAGAGCTTTTTCCCGAGGTTTTTCCCTGCAGCTCCTTTACACATGATTGGCTGCAACCACTGCAACCGCCAATTACATATAACCAATCACAATCGACCTTCCGAGCAGTGCGACTCTACTGCTTTCATTCAAGGGACGAACCCGCACGGCAACCTTGACAGAGCTTTCCATTATTGTTTACTAAACTTAGCGTCTCATAAACAAACTACCAAATGACCATCAGATGGAAAGGGAAAGAGATATATTTCAAACACATGATCATACGACAAATATTCTTTGGGAAGCGAAATTCATAAAACTAACCGATATTACGGATCATACTTACAAATTCCAGATAATACTAGCGCAGATCCTGACGCACTTCAGAAGAAAATAAACAAAATCCGGCGATTTCTTTTACACATGACACACGTACGAGTACTAAGCAAAGTATTTTGCATAAACTGTTAAACGTGATGGAAAACAGAGCAGTTCCCTATAAACGTTTGACATTTTCGTGTGACATTCACGAGATAGTTATAAACAAATCAAGCTTGAAAAAACCGGAAACGCTCTTTACAAATAAAGGCAGCTGTGAACTTGCGAGTCTGAATGAATGAATGATATAAAGCACAAAAAGAATTATTCATCCGTGACAGCGACACACTCGTCAAAACAATAAAATATTGAATATTTAGACACGCATATCAGGGTTCTAAACTAACTTGGTCTCGAAGATAAAAAATGCAAACTGGCTGTAGTAATCGTGTTTCTGTACTGGACAATTAGTCACAATTTAATACGGAAGAAGAAGGAATTAAAATGAATCATTGCGCTACCACTGGCACTGCGGAATATGCTTCACGTCATTTTCACAATTTGGTATTTCCGTTTGAACGTATTTTCGTACTTGGGTATACGTTCAGGCGGAAAAAAATCACGTATCGAGGTTGTATTGTTTGTTCTAACGCAGTTGCATAACGTCATAAAGTTGTCAAATTGTTACCATCAAATTGCGACAACGAGACCTAATATTGACCTTACACGACGTTTAATATCAGAAAATGTCGCAACGGGGATTTTGTTTTTGCCTGGAAATGTTATTTGAGGAAAAACAGTCAACTTTAACTTGAAGAGCATTGCTTTGTACAGAAGCTTGAAGTTTTCGGTATTTATATAGCAAGATATGAGCGGAGAAATTGTCAGACTGAATGTTGGGGGAAGAAGGTAAGTTAATTCAGGTGTCGATTAAAACTGAATGTTATTAACATCAACATGTTATGTATTCAACTTTCAAAACTTGTTCAACAAATTTGCTCATGTTAAAGAAGCATTGTGTGTATTTTGTTTAGATTTTCCACATCGACACAAACTTTAATGTGGATACCTGACTCATTCTTCTCCAGGTCAATAATATATTTTCTATCCAATTAATAATTTATTGATAATATCTGAAAGTAATGCAATCAATATATCATTCAATAGTTTGCTTAGTGGAAGAATTGAATCAATAAAGGATGAGACAGGAGCAGTAAGTATCATAAATGGTCACTTTGTTGCTGGTGAAAACTCTTAAAATCATTCAATCCAATATCATTGCTCCCACAGGTTTTTATTGACCGTGATCCAGATGCTTTTGTTCCAATTTTGAACTTTTTACGAACCAAGGAACTTGATTTAAGGTATGCAAGTTGTGTCTGATATTTTGCTCTCATCTATCCAATGGTCAGTGGTTGGTGTTTTGTATGTTGCCTAATGGTTTTTTTTCTGACAAAGGGGTTTGGACTTGAAGGTTGTAAAGCATGAAGCTGAATTTTATGGAATAACACCGCTTGGTATGTCCACCATATTTGCCAGATTTTTTTCTGATTTTTGGATTTTCTATTCAATAATATTTTTGTCTGGAAATTTAGTAAAACGCCTTACTCTCTGTGAAGATATCAGTGGTTCAAAATGTGGAAATGTGTATTTTCATGGATATCTACACACTGCAGGTGACTTATTGATATTTTGAAATATATTATAGTAACAAAACACAAATATATAAATGAGTATTCTTTGATTTTAGAACTACCAGGAATTCCTGCGAAGATATACTTCAAACTAGTAGGTTGCAGTGACAAGCTTAGTACCTCATCCGATGACCAGGAGACGAGATGTGATGGCATAGAGAAATTGGGAGGTATTCAAGAGAGTTTCTTTTTAAAATATGAAATAATGCAAGCTATAGTTGTCTCTTCACTTCATATTTCTTAAGATCTTCACAGAGTTCAAGTGTTAACGGGTCATCACAACTGGTTAGCTGTTGCTTATCCAAGATGCGTGTGTTGTTTTCAGTAAGTTGAGATTCATTGATTATCAAACAAAGTAGTTCAAATATAACCAAGGAGCAGCGTGGCAGTGTCTTCAAACAACTTAGCATCAAATGTGGTATAACAACTGCCTAAATAGACAAAACACTTCTCGACGTTTCGACCTGAGGACCTTCGTCAGGAGAGTTAGTAACTCTCCTTTGTCAGGAGAATTAGTAGCTCTCCTGACGAAGGCCCTCAGGTCAAAACATCGCGACATGTTTTGTCTATTTAGGCAGTTGTTATACCAATTGTTCTTGTTATTTAGACTTACCGATCACAAAGGTTCAAGAGAACAAGTCTTTACCAGTCCCTTTCTTGAAGAGACAGTTGAGCATCTTGCACTTAACACACGTGTGGTTGGACAATGGGGGGATAAATTGGTTGCTGCTTCATCAGGTCAGAATTTCATGTTTCAACAAAAGTTAATAGTTATTGGTTGTTATACCACAGTCATTACCATAAACACAGTACAGTATCTTTGGTTTTTTTCTAAACAGGAAGTAAATTTCAGCTCTGGAACTGCACACAAGGCACTGCTATAGGTATGCCTGGTATTTATTGAGGTTTGATTGGACCATTTCTCATCATTCATTTTTTTTCAAATATTATTTTCATATTTCAGGAAAATTTGATCTTGGTATACAAATTGATGCGCTGTTCTTTGTTGGCAGTCAAGTGTTGCTCTAAGTTACACTGGAAAAGTTGGTATTTGGAATTCAAGAATGCCAAGGCATTGGCAGGTCAGAGCTGATATACCATGTTCAACATCATAGTGCTGAAGGAATGCAACTGCATTCATATTTTGCCATACCTCAACTGATTGACATTTGTTGTATGTTTTTTATCAACCATTAATGCACTGATAAGATTGTGAAAATTTTCATTATATTTGAAGGTACAAGAAGTGGTAATTCCTATATCAAGTTATGATACTGGAGGAACGTTGCTCCTGCTGGGATGTGATAATGGATCTATTTATTACATTGGTATGTTGACTCCTCAGATAGGAGAATGGCAAAAGAAGTTTGCTCAATGTCCCTAAGGATAATCTTGTTAATTTAGCCCATTTTATTTTAACAGACATGGAGAAATTTCCCCTCAGAATGAAAGACAATGATTTATTGGTCACTGAACTTTATCGAGATCCTGCTGGTGATAAAGTGACTGCATTGAGTGTCTATCTCACTCCAAAGTCATGTGGGTATCTTAAGATAATTGACTGAGAATAGTGGTTGCTCAGCAGTTATGTCAATTTGCCTATTTTCAGAGGCCTTTTTACGTTACTTCAAGGAATTATTGACTATCATCAATTTTCACATATTGATAGGTATCAGTGGTGGTAACTGGATTGAGATAGCATATGGTACGGACTCGGGGGTGGTGCGAATCATTGTTCAACATCCAGAGACGGTGTATGCCGCTGGACATGGTCCACAGTTGTTTCAAACTTATACTGTACATCGTTCTCCCGTCATAAAAGTTATGTTGAGTGAAAAACACTTGATATCAGGTATTTTCGTAAAATCAGTTGTTCAATGCAATAGACTTTTAAAACGTTGTGAAACCTTACATGCAACAAGGCTATGGAAGACTTCCTAAACCAGCAACAAGTTCGCAGTTTACTAAACTATTTGCTTATTTTTTCTGTCGCAGTTTGCTCTGATTACAATCATGTTCGTACGTGGAACGTGACGAGATTTCGAGGAATGTTATCAACGCAACCTGGCTCCACTCCTCTTGCTTCATATAAAGTGGTTTCATTAGAGCGATCTGAGCATCATCCAAGCTCTGCGTCTGGAAATATGATAGGTAAATACCGGCTAATAATATATACGTAAGTTTTTCGTGAGTTTCTCCTTTAGTTTAATTCAAAAGATACAGAAAATATTTATGGAAAAACTTATTCAGCTTTATGATTAAAAAATTTGGTGCAAAGATTTGCGATTACAACTTTCCTCGTTTGCATCAGAAGAACGAAAAGGGCAGCAAAGTTGCCAATGTAACTTTCCTGTAGTGTGAAGCAAACATTCAACTTGCAAATTGTACGTTTTTTTAGGTCCGTTTGGTGAACGGGATGATCAACAAATCTTTGTTCAAAAAGTTGTTCCAGATTCTGATCACTTGTTTATCAGACTTGTATCAACTGGTAAACGTGTTTGCACCATAAGATCAGTTGATGGCAGCATGATCATTTCATATTGTGTCAATGAATGTGAGGGTTCAAGTGGTATGGGTACAAGACCGCGGAGATATCTGTTCACTGGCCATTCTAATGGCTGCATACAGGTCAGACACAAAGTTTTCACTACATTAATGCGAGTACTCTTCTCTCAGTTCTCTGTCTTTACATTTTCTTTGGAATGTTTAGATGTGGGATCTATCTTCTGCACTACAACAAGCAAATAGACAGACAGGTAGATATTATATTTCACTATTCATTCTTCGTGTATAGATGGTAGAATAGGGTGATAGTAAGTGTTTTATTCACTCTTTCAGACAACATGGGCGGACCGACACAAAACGAGTTACTTCAAGTATTGGATAATTGTGACCTCAGTAGCTCCCGCAGTACAACGCCGAGTGTATCACCAGCAGCATCCTTGTACAACACCTCTGGTAACAACAAAGTGCGGTGTGCAGGTGCAGCCTTGTATGACAGTCATCTTGGTAGCAGTATTGAAGAAGAGCATGAACTAGATATAGTTAACGAAGTAAATATTGACAGTGAACAAGGTGATAATATCGAGGAACAGAATGCAGCGATGGCTCAGAATAGACCAACATATTTTGTATCACAATGCTGAAAGATGATGTTGTTAGAGAAAGACCAAGCGAAGTCATAGCCATAGAGTCACACCCTCTGAATTAACGATCTCTCAGAAAAATATTTATCACAAATACATTTAAAATTCTAACATGCATACACAAAAAATGGAAACGTTCTGGTTGTTACTCGAAGTCATAAAGTAAATAGAACTGTTCTAGCGAGAATTGCAACGTTTCCTCCATCCGTTTTGAAATGATTTCCAAGTCTGGTCTTCGGACTTTCAGCCTCTTCACTGATACTAGCCCCAGACTTCCCAGTCATCCCAGACTGTGCGCGATGCAAAATGGCGGATCACGATGCAAATCTGAATTCTATAGCTGTTAGTGAACCAGTTTGCATTTCCGATTTTGAAAATTATGCCAGAGCATTTCTCCCAAAGAATGCTTGGGATTATTATAGTTCTGGAGCAAACGAAGGAATTACTTTGAGGGAAAACAGACAGGCTTTTGAAAGGTATCAATGTTAGCTAAATTGCAATGCAATTATAATTTTACTGTTACTAATGCACATGTTATTTGACAGACTTAAATTACGTCCACGTATTCTGAAAGATGTCTCGAATATCGATATGTCGACCACAATTCTTGGAGAAAAAATTGATTTTCCAATTTGTGTTGCTGCAACTGCCATGCAGAAGTTGGCACATCCTGATGGAGAAATAGCTACAGCAAGAGGTTTGTTTTTGAGCGACTGTTAGTCTGTTCTTTTATCAAACATGTCAACACACACTTCAAGTCAATTTCTAAAATCTCTTCCAGCTGTTGTTCAAGCTGGTACATGTATGATGCTGAGTTCTTGGTCAACATCAAGAATTGAAGAAGTTGCTGAAGCATCATCATCTGGCTTGAAATGGTTACAACTGTATGTCTATAAAGATCCAAGTGTTACACTAGACTTGATTAGAAGAGCTGAAAGTTCAGGTTTTAAAGCTATTGCTGTGACGGTAGATACACCTCTCCTTGGACGTAGGTATGGTGATGCCCGCAATAAATTTTCTTTACCTCCTCATCTAACATTAGCAAACTACAAGCAGAGTTATGCAACTGGTGTCAAGAGTGATAAAGATTCTGGTCTGGCAACTTTTGTTAATTCTTTAATCAATTCATCTTTAACGTGGGAGTTTATTCCATGGTTAAGATCTGTGACAAAGTTGCCAATTGTTTTGAAAGGCATTTTGACAGCAGAAGATGCACGATTAGCTGTTCAACATGGTGTTGATGGTATCCTAGTCTCAAATCATGGTGCACGACAACTTGATGGTGTTCCTGCCACTGTAAGAGGAAATACTTATCTCTCCAATAAACCTCTATTAATTTCTACCAGATAAAAAACATTAAGAGGCAGCTTTTGCTACACCATTTTTTGCTCATGTTTTAGATTGAAGCCTTGCCTGAAGTAGTGTCTGCAGTTGATGGAAAGTGTGAGGTGTATTTAGATGGAGGTGTGAGGTTTGGCACAGATGCTCTTAAAGCTTTAGCTCTTGGTGCAAGAGCTGTCTTTGTTGGAAGACCTATCTTATGGGGACTTTCTTATCAGGTAAACATCAAATGATCTTCAAGAAATGACATGTTTTACTTCAACACATTAATTTTATTTCACTTTTTTATAGGGTGAAGCAGGTGTGAGTAAACTTTTGCAGATATTCAAAGATGAATTTAAATTAGCCATGGGCCTTGTAGGTATGACTTTTTAAGAGGAGACCAACTAGAATTTTCTAGCAATTAAACAACTTGGGAAAGAACTGGGTAAATAATTTTGGGTAAGATGGGTTGATTAGATCTCTTTTTCCTATATAGGATGTGATTGTGTGAAGGATATTTCAAGAAACCTGGTTGCTCATCAAACACAATATGCAAAACTTTGATCATTTCTGAAATCAACATCTTCTATGAAGACCAGACAGATATTAAATATGAAATATTTACCTCCCACAGGGGTTGCTAAACTTATTTCATTTGTTAAGGGCCTCTGTTAAGCTGGATTCAAGCCCCTATCATATTTCAGGAGTTATGGAAGAAGATGCATATAAAACATAATCTGGGGCTGTCAGTGGATCCAGCCTCTTCCATAGACATTTCTTCATTAGATTTATTCTGATTAATGCTGAGAAATAAAAAGACTGAAGAATCTCTTGCTTCTCACTTGCTTTTTCTCCTTTTTTTTTTAAAGGAAATATTTTTCTTTATCATCTGAAACAGATTTAGTTTCACATTTTTTTCGTGTACTCAAGTTTAAATAACACTGAGATAGAATTTCATTAGAAATGCAATTAGTTGGTGCACGATCAGATATTTAAAATGGCTGATCAGGGTGCAAGTCTGGTCTATAATAGTGAACCAGTTTGTATTTCTGATTTTGAGCGTCATGCCAAAGCGTTTCTTTCAGAGGATGTTTGGGATTATTATAGTTCAGGAGCAAACGAATTAATTACTTTAAGAGAAAACAGATTGGCCTTTGATAGGTATCAATGTTAAATGTTTGTAATTAACCCACAGTTAATTGCCCAGAAAATATCGCTAGTGGAACACCAGCTTTACTTTTATATATTAATTTGGTAAAACCCTAAAAGCAACCGTCGCTCGTTTCAATGCTTTGCAAAATGAAAATACCCATGGAAAAAATATTCACCTTTTATGGACAAGCGATGAAAAAATGGACGTAAAAAAGATGATCGTCTTTTGAACAACTGGTCCTTTGATGCTGTATTAAAACACTTTGTGCTGTATTAAATACTGTTACTAATGTAGATGTTTATATTTGACAGACTTAAATTACGTCCACGTATTCTTAAAGATGTCTCGAATATTGATATGTCGACCACAATTCTTGGAGAAAAAATTGATTTTCCAATTTGTGTTGCTGCAACTGGCACACACAAGTTGGCACATCCTGATGGAGAAATAGCTACAGCAAGAGGTTTGCTATCAAACCATAGGCAACACCATAGGCAGCCCAGAAATCTGTTTATAATCAGTCTTCAACTGCATTGTTTACGCACACGGTCAGCTTCTACTTTCAAACACATCATAATCAACACACACATCATAAGTCAATTTGTAACATTGATGGTAGCTGTCATTCAAGCAGGTTCATTGTTGATATTGTAGTTGTGTGATATTGTAAATCAAATTGATGCTTTAAATCTCTTCCAGCTGTCGTTCAAGCTGGTACATGTATGATGCTGAGTTTTTATTCCACATCAAAAATTGAAGAAGTTGCTGAAGCATCATCTGGCTTGAAATGGTTACAACTGTATATCTATAAAGATCCAAGTGTTACACTAGACTTGATTAAAAGAGCTGAAAGTTCAGGTTTTAAAGCTATTGCTGTGACAGTAGATACACCTTTGTATGGACAAAGGTATGGTGAAATCCGCAATAAATTTTCTTTACCTCCTCATCTGACATTTGCCAATTTAGAGAGGATTTATGCAACTGGTAGCAAAGATGATAAAGATTCTGGAAGGAACGCTTCTTATAATTCCTCAATCAATTCATCTTTAACGTGGGAGTTTATTCCATGGTTAAGATCTGTGACAAAGTTGCCAATTGTTTTGAAAGGCATTTTGACAGCAGAAGATGCACGATTAGCTGTTCAACATGGTGTTGATGGTATCCTAGTCTCAAATCATGGTGGACGACAGCTTGATGGTGTTCCTGCCACTGTAAGAGGAAATACTTATCTCTCCAATAAACCTCTATTAATTTCTACCAGATAAAAAACATTAAGAGGCAGCTTTCACTATTCTTCTATTAACCTGTACGATTTACGTCCATGTCGTTTATGTTTAAGATTGAAGCCTTGCCTGAAGTAGTATCTGCAGTTGATGGAAAGTGTGAGGTGTATTTAGATGGTGGCGTGAGGTTTGGCACAGATGCTTTTAAAGCTTTAGCTCTTGGTGCAAGAGCTGTCTTTGTTGGAAGACCTATCTTATGGGGACTTTCTTATCAGGTAAACATCAAATGATCTTAAAGAAATGACATGTTTTACTTCAACACATTAATTTTATTTCACTTTTTTATAGGGTGAAGCAGGTGTGAGTAAACTTTTGCAGATATTCAAAGATGAATTTAAATTAGCAATGGGCCTTGTAGGTATGACTTTTTTAGACTTAATAAGGACAATCAATATACTCTCTGTGACGACAGGAACTTTCTGACACACAATAAACTAATTAGACAAATTTTTGTTTGGTGAAAAAGCTAATTGTATTTCTTCCATAGGATGTGACTGTGTAAAGGATATTTCAAGAGATATGGTTGCTCATCAAACACAATATTCAAAACTTTAATTAAATTTTTTGATGTAATTGTCATTGGATACAGTAGATCTTCATTGATCTCAGCATAGACAATCCATGTCTTTTGGATTGTCTATGATCTCAGTGATTAGTCAAACTATGGCTTTGAACAACTGGCCCCAGGAGAATTTTTTTGTGGACCATCTTGATATTTTTAATACGAAAAACCAAATTGACGTGCACTATTTTTGTTTGTTTTACCTAATCAATACCCCTCGCCCCTCTAACGTTCCTCGCCCCTCTAACGTTCCTCTTCCCCTGCTAATTTCTATAACCCACCAAATTTGAGCGCGAAACCTGATACAGTGTAACGTTAGGTTCCCTAAATCTGATATAATGGACGCTCAAAGTAGTGGCGGATTCAGGGCCAATCTAAGCGAAGACGATGAGAAAAAAGATATACAAAAAACACCAGAGAAAGATGTTTTCAGCGAAACAACACATCGAAGTTCAGAGCGGCTTAGAACGAAGTCAGAACGACGTAATTTGAAATTACCAAGTCGTAGTGAAATCTTGGATAACATTTATGTGGATAAAACAATAAAGTATGAGAGTATAAGTTTGCAGCCAAAACGTTTGGTTAACGATTTTGTCAAGGGGTAAGTTGAAACATTGTTAGCTGAGTACTGGTCAACATTTCAGTTATTGTTTATATAAAGTCAGACCACAACAAACCTAACTTAGTGTGCATGTCTATTGATTGGGACTTTTAGAACCTGAACCTCTACACTCTTTATTGCTTTATTTTTAGAGCGAACAGATATGTGGCTGATAGGAACAACGTTTTTGAAAGTGATGACAGTATGTCTAGTTTTATTGAAGATTCAGATGAATCACCTTCCAAGAAGTCTGAAAGATCAAATAAAAGAGGAAAGACTATCAGAAGCAAAGGCAGGGGGTGTATGGTAAAAAAGAGGAAAATAAAGAAAAGAGAATTGAGTTCAAATGATGAAAGTAGTTATCTTAAGCTAGATGATGAAATTGAATCTGATGATGAGAAGATTGATGCTGATTCTTCCAATACAAGAACAAGAAGGAAATCTAGAAGATTAAGATCAATACAATCTAGTTCTGAAGAAGAAGCTGAAATCACTACCAACAGAGCTGGTGGCAAAACAAGGATGAGAAAGAGTGATAAATGTGGTAGTAGTTCTGAGGATGATATATCCATCAAGTTACAACCAAGTAAAAGACAGGTTTCACACAGATTTGATTCATCAGACAGTGATAATCAACCAAATCGTAAGTTACCAATGAGAGCAAAAAGTGCCAAGAAAGAAAAGGAAACAGTGCTCTTGGCAAGACTTAATGCAAAAAGAAATAAAGAGAATGTTGAGCGAAAGAATATGAAGATGAATTTGGGCAATACAAGCCATGGTAGCATGGTAAGATTACTGCATGATGGTGATACATCAGAAGAAGAAAATCTATCTGTGATTAATTCTAGAGATTTTGTAGAGTATGAATCTGATGAAGAGTTTATTGTAGATGATGAGCTTTACTCTGATGCTGATGATAACGTGGCTGAATTTTTTACAAATTTTTAATCTAGAAGACTACAAAATGTCAAAGTTAACAGAAGAGAAATCAAATAATTTTCACAGAATTTGCATTCCAGCTGAGTCAGATGACAGTGCTGATGAGACTGTTTTGGACTCAATTGTGTTAGAAACATGCAAGTCTATCAGGGAAGGGGACATTGAAAGTGTCAAGTCTGCACTGAATGCAAATCCTATGGTTCTTCATGATCTTGGTCCAAAAAGACGTTCATTGTTACATGTTGCTATTATATCCGGTTCAGCTGAAATTACTGAACTTTTATTGAGAGAAAATGCTGATAAACTTGCCAGAGATACTTACTCTTTACAGCCTATTTCCTATGGTATACTTACTGGTCATAGCAACTGTCTTAAACTGCTATTGGAAGATACAGATTTACATGAATTGAACAAGTTATATGAGGATAATTTCAACTTTAATTTGTTACACTTTGTTGTATATGGAAAGAGTAAGTTTCCAGACTTGAACTGTGATGTGGCTGGAGATGGGGATTTGGTTCGTTGTATGAAGATATTATCTGAACATGATGAAAAGTTACTTTTCAAGTTAATGAGCAGAAAAGATGATCACGGTTTTACCCCTCTTGTGGCTGCTGTTCTTGCTGGCCATCCTCAGGTTAGTATGATATAAACCAGGAGAATTTAATAGCCCATTTAGGTGTAAAATTTTTGCGTTCTCAATCAAATGGGAATGCACAATTACACCCAGCAATTGTACATCTGTTGAATGTTTTTTTTCAATCTGTAGTGTGCTGAGTTTTTGTTACATAATGGTTCCTCAGTGGATGATGTTGAAGGCAGAAATGGAGGAAACTTTCTACACCTTGTTGTTCAGTCCTCTGAGCTAAAAGAAAGGAGATCTTGTTTTCTTAATATGTTGTTAAAGACAACTTTAAAATATGAAATTGATTTTGCTGATAATTCAGGTGAATTTTGTACTTTGGTACTTTATTTCTTGCCATTTCTTTTATTTATTTTACTCCTACTACATATAGTTGTTGTCTGCAGTATTAACAATACCTACGATTTTGAATATCTCCAGGGGATGCAATATATTACTTCCCTAATCCCTAATTACTTCCGTAGGTTTTACACCATTGATGTATGCTGCTCAGAGTGGTGATCATGACTGTGTCAAAGCATTGCTGGAAACAGGAGCCTCACTTTCATGTAAAGTAAGTGACCAAGTGCTACTACTGGGGTGATATTATGGGGTAATATTTAACACTTGATATATGATATCACACCTGTCGTTCTAGCATTATAACCTCGTTATTTTATAAAACAACCCAATTGTGTTTATCCATATTGGTTAATATATTCTCAGGACCATCATGGTACTACCAGTCTTCATCTGGCTGCCATTAGTGGTGACACAAACACTGTACAATTGTTGCTCCAGTATGGTCATCAAGTTGACTGTTTAGACTCGTCTGGGTGGCCTCCATTGCTGTATGCAAATTTTGCTGCCCAAGAGAGCTGTGTTCTGTCTCTCATGGAGCCAAATCCTAAACAAATTTTTGTCCTGGGAGATTTATGAGGAGACAAACATCAGGAGCTGGCAAAGAGAGAAATTTTAAGGTATAATATAATTAACTTGAGCCCCTTTTACACTACACTCAATTTTTGGTATGTTACTGCAAGGCTAAAATGGGTACCTGTGCCCATTTCATCTGTGCTCCCTAGGAGTACCAGGGAGTCATTGCTAATGGTCTCGCATTCTTTAATGCCATTAGCTTGACCAACCTGCTTTGCACGCTTAGTATTAAAAACTTGTTTATCTGGTTAGTCTACTAGCCAGGAATTAATCCTCTATTCATGCATCCGTGAGTCGTCTCATTGAGACCTTTGATTTATCTTACTTAAGGTGGTTAGAGATGTTCTTATTGCCCTGGCTAACCAAGATGCTTACTACCGGGTTTTTAATGACTTTATTCGACGTAATCCAGACTTTCTTGACCAGTATGACCGTGGATTGTTTCAAAAGACGTGGAGAGCCTTGTTGGATTATGACAATAAGTTGAAATGGTTTCAACGAAAGTTGAAAACTACCAGGTTTGTCTTAGTATCTTTTATGACAGCAAAGATACTGAAGTTATGATGAGATTCTCCCCGTTGCTTGCACCCAAAGACGCCCCCTCAAACTCGCGCATGCGATACTCACTTCTTATTTGTGATATTCTAGAAAAAATTATCCTGAAAGTATTTCAGTATGTGTCGACCGGGAAGCCGTCTTCGAAAGTGCCATGAAGGTTCTAAACTCGTACAGCGGTAATCGTTTGAGAAACTGTAGTCTTCACGTCAGGTTTAATAATGAAGAAGGTAAACTGTTTCCTTCCACAGAGAGACGCCTTAGATAAACACCAGCTGACGGCACTTATATCTAAACTGGCGCACTTTTTTTTAGGAATGTGTACGGGTCCAAAAAGAGAGTTCTTTGTGAACATCAGCAAGGACATTGTTAATTCCTGCCATCAAATATTTCACCTGACAGATGACAACCAGTACAGGTATTTATTAATAAAGAACATTGCTCCAACACATCGTCTCCATTTCACAAGGGTGTTGTGTATGACCAGAAATAATTAAACATCATGTCTCCATTTTAGCTAATGGATTTTGTAACTCTTTTTTAAGCTAGACAAGGTGATTTCATCTTTTGGTCATTTCTAGTTTTCTTCCTAATTCGTATTTGGCTGAGAGATCAAAGAGTGAAGATATACCCTCTGGTCGACGTAGCGATACAAATATAACTACGGTGACCAATGGATCCCAAGGTATAGTTGAGGACGTTACAGTATCTCTCAGTAGTAGAAATGCAGGCCAATCAAGTGGATCACAAGATATGAGTGAGGACCTCGGAGGATCCAACGAACAATCGTGTACTGCGGAGACAATAGTAGAAGCAGAACAAAATTCCATCGAGGTTCTTTCTTGTCCCTGGTCAGAATATATGGATGAAAAGGGAGACGAAATCATTGGTCAGTTAGACATAAGCGATATTGAAGATAAGATGAAGGAAGATAAGAAGAGAGAATTTAGCAGACATATTGATGAAAAACTGAAAAAGAATTTTTCACAAATAAAATTCCTGGGGAAAATAATTGGAACAGCAATCTGTGAAGGTTTTTTTATTAATTTGAATTTATGCAAACCCATCGTGAAACAGGTAAGCTGGACGTTTCCTATACATGTATATCTCATTCTAAGATTATTATTTAAAATTGGATATCATTATAATAGTAATAATAGGTATTTTATGTTTAACAATATTTTCTTCTTATAGATTCTTGGTGTTCAATTAAGTCATCCTGACGACCTCAGTTCATTTGATTTTGAACTTCATAAAAACTTAGTAACATTTGTTCTTGAAAGTGATGACGTTGAAGACCTAATGTTACCATGTACTCTTGATGTATCGAATCCCTGGAATGGACGAGTAACAACGTTGGATTTGTTCCCGAAGGAAAGGAATGAGGAATTCTTGAATGAAACAAACAAGGTTTGTGGCCGTTTTAGAAAAAATCTGGTTTGCCTGATCTTCCAAGATTCAAGCTCGTAGTCACTTTTTTGCTGTATCTTTTTTTTGCTGTATTTTGGTTCATAAAATATTTCTCGTCTTAGGTTGAATATGTTAACTTGGTTTCCCAATATAAACTGACAGATTTGATGAAGAAAGAAATAGACGCATTATGTGAAGGTCTTTTTGAGGTGTGTGTTACAATATAGAAGGAAATTCATGACTTTTAATAAGTAATTTAATATGGTGTTCAGGCCTGGTAATATTAAAAAATCAATTCAAATTAAACATTTTTTCTTAATAAGGTGATACCAATGCCACTCTTCAGCCTGTTTACTGCTGACGAGTTTTCATTGTTGATCAACGGAATTGGGAGAATTATTGTTGAAGATTGGCAGGAAAACACTGTGGTTAGCATCGTATATGAACCTGAATATCTTTTATATCAACCTATGTTGCTACTGTATATCAATATATACAGCTACAGTATATGAACCTTTATTTTAATATTATTCGTTGTTAATTCGTGTCGTGACCCAAATTGTTATTTCTGCAGTACACGCCAAGCAACGCATCAAGCATTTTCGACGAAATAAAATGGTTCTGGGAAGTTGTGAAGGATTTGAAGGAAGAGGAGAGAGCGTTGTTGCTGAAATTTAGCACTGGATCACCCTGTCTGCCAGCCGGAGGATTTGCACAGTTAGAGGTAGGACATTATTTTATTGTGATTGCGAGGTTGATCATGCAGTTGCATTTAGATCGTATATTCTTTCCTCTCTAGGGTCTTGGTGGTAAAACGATGTTTCATATTACAATGAAGTCGGACTACAATAAGGTAAAATTTCTTTTTTATTATATTGTATGTTTTTCGTTATCTCCGCCCTGGACGTTTATATTTTCTTCGTCCAGCAAGACCGCTCGTGTTTTAACTAAATCACAGTTTCATTGCCTCAATTACACGACATTATCTCAGTTATAAAAATCTCCGCAATAACACGTGTAAACTTGGACCCCATTTAGATCCCAACAGCTTCAACCTGTTTTAATCTACTAAAGCTTCCAAAATATGATAGTAAAAAAGACTTGAAAGAAAAGTTATTGATTGGTATAAGACACGGCACTGAAGGATTTACTTTCTCATAAATATACGACATATTGTGGTGAATAATTTACTAATAAAATTTATAAGTTGACATATTTTTTCATCAGTAAATATTTAACTATGCTATCCGCAGATGCCAGGCTGTTCAACATTGCGCCCGTGCACATTAACCGCTGAATATTATTTTTAATGACGTCACATTTACTATGCGCGTGATAAATGTGAATAAGTCCTGGGTCAGCTGCTCTTATAATATCGTATTTATTTCTTGATATGAATGCTTCAAACAAATGTATATCTTCGTATCCCCATTCTTTGATTTTAACGTTGAATCCACCTATAGAGATGACGTCATAGCTGTATGCACATACCGGCCCGAACGAGTATAATGCCCAGTCCCCAACTTCCCTGTCAAATGATCTGAAATATTCGGTTGGTTTGAGTTGAAAACCAAGGATCTTTGGGTTGAATAATTTAAACATGACTGGGAAATATACGCGTTGCTTGGCGACGGTGTTATCACGACATCGCTGTATGAAGTCCTCGTTAAAAGTCAAGTCAACATCAGCAAAGAATAGTAAATTATTGTCTTTGTTAAAATCTACTGCAGCTTGTAAGGCCTGGGCCCTGGCGAATGAGCCTGGCAGGTCTAGCCATATGAAGATGTGATTTCTGTACGTCATGTTAAATTGATGAAAAATCTTCTTGTGTTCTAATGAAGGTGTCACTTCTGGGAAATATGCGACAAGAAGCGTGATTGGATCATTTTTCTTCAAGATATTTTGCTCTAGATTTTTCATGAATTGTTTAAAGTTGTTTAATCTTCCTGCAAGCGGTACAACAATAGTAACTGGCTTCGTCTCAGATGTTTTTATAATTCGTTTTTCGATTGCACCAAATTTTTGATATGATCTTGCTATGTGTCGGTCTTTGTTCGTGAAAATATTCAACCGATATTGCAGGCCTCTGATTGGCTGATTTAACATGTAGCCATAATAGAGTGCGTGAAACTGGAGGTTCTCGTGATGAGCTTTACTTATTGCGTCCATAATTGTCCTGATTATCCCTGTTGTTCCTTGCAACTTATGATAACGTAATGACCAGGAATCTTTGTTATTTACTTCCAAGTCCTTGGTGAGAGTGAACATGTGAGCATAATCAACTTTCCGTTTGAAATCTTTATAGAACCTTATCTCATGGAGCTTTTCGTAGACTGTTCGAGTGATGGAACTTTGGAGAATTTTTAGTTTAGTTTCAAGTTTCTTGTGTTTGAAACTGAGATTACGAACTTTTTTTGAAAGAAGCTGAATGCGAAGTCTGTATAAACAATCCATATCTTTAGAGAGATCAGTTGTCACTGAACTTGTCGTAGTAAGGTCTTCATTTTCCTTTTGGCAAGTGCCAGAATTTATTTTTTTCTTGTTACCATCGTTGTCTTCCTAAATTGAGTAGAAATTGTAATACGATAAGATGTTGTATTGATGTATCCAATATGGTTAACAATGGATGTTTTCAATTGAAAGATCGTGATGATACTTACCTCTGTGAACCAGGAAATTGTGACGTTCTCTAAACACTCTTGATAAACCTTTGTTTTATTGAAACAATGTTTTGTTGATAATTTCTGCAACAGTGATCTGCTCATTGTTACTCCAGGTTGAAGGATCAAATCCGTGATTTTGTCATTTCCTTCTGTTTCACGATAGAATGAAGAGTTATCTATCCTGTTACCTCCCCTGGTATCATTATGAAATCCTTTGTGTACACTTGCTGCCGGAAGAAAAAGATACTTCCTTGAGTAATCTAAACTTCCTAAGAACCTCAATTTCTTAAAGTTAAGAAAGAAACTGCCAGAACTTAATATGAACCAGTTGAAATTAGTCGCATACATTTCAGCAACATATCTCAACATGCCTGAATATATTGTTCTCTCAGATGAAACATCTTTTACTTGCACCATTGATGAGCCATGCGAAGCCGTCTCTATGGTATCTGTAAAGTATACGAATTTTATGTCCATGTCTTCAGTATTTAAGTCGTTGTAGAGGTTGCTCGATTCAGGAAGCACCTTTGTGAAGACAGCGACTAGCATAAATCTTGAATTATATTTTATTTCCTCCCCAAGTGTCTGTTGTCGTTTACGATTACCGCTCTTTGAGTAAACCGTTTGATGACATCGTAAAACGCGACGAACAACCCGTGCGTTCTTGCTTAACCATAATCCCAAACATAGACCACAAATAGATGAAAAAACCATAATGAAAATTTCTCTTTTCTTTCCATACCTTCCCATAGTTGCTGTAAGGTCGCTTTACATAAGGCATGCTCGACTTCCTGCTAGAATTATGTGGATGATTAAATATCAGCAGTTGACTGTCAATGATTGTTTTCAATACCTCTCAGCTGGCAACCACGATACTTTTGTCTCGGCGGTCATGCAACAAAGATTTTCTTAGCGTGAGAGCGACATTATTCGTAATACTTGCACATAGAATTCGTAATACTTGCAGATAGAAATGAATTCGATTTCTCTCTCTAAGACAATTCTTGCGTCGAAGGGATAGTTTAGGTTTTTTATCAACCGTTTAGTATAAAGTTACCTGTGTTCAATAAAAACGTAAGGAATATATAAACTATGAAATTAGGTAAAGTGTATTATTATGACATGAGCATAGACAATATAAATATATAACAAAGGGAAGGACGGAAAAAGACTTGTTTTTATCATGACACATACCAGTGAAATAAAGACAAAACATCGATAATTTTTTTTAAAGTATATATTTTAAACAAACGACAATACAAGATGATTAATTATGTAGTTATCAAACAATACAATTCACATATTCATATTAGTTATTACAACCAACTTTGGCGAAACCAGTGTTACTGATGACAATGTTACATCACTATATTTTAATTTTATATTCGCAACCATCTATTTTCAAACATCATTGTGTAGAAGTTCCGAACCAATCTGTGATCTTTTGTTGGCGAACTCTTTTACCATAAACAAAGTCTGTGCCATCATCATTCATGAGACAGTATCATTCGGTGTACTAGAATTACCTTTTGCATTCCTAATAATCCGCGCTCTAATATCTCTGCCATCTTCTTCAGAAATCGTTTCATTTTCTGATTCTGATGTATTAAGAAGTCCATGAACTTTCACGTCATGAAGCCAAAATCTTCTCTTGCTTTTGAAACCTTCTTTACATTCAGGACAATAATAGATATGATTATCTTTGAGTACGTTTTTATTTTTATGAGTTTTATCATGGTGGTGTTTTAGTCCATTTTTGCTGGCGTATCCTTTGTCACAAACAGGACATACGAACGGTTTCCCTTCCAAGATCTTAAGAATTGTTTCATTTGAATTTGTTTCGTTATTTCTCTGACTAGTCGCACTTATCTCGTCTTCCATATCGTTTGTCTTGTTCCTTAAATCATTTCTCAAATCGAGAATTCCATTTTCATGTTGTATTTTACGATCATTGCGTCGCACTTGGCTACAGTCTTCATCTTGGCCACCTGCGTTATTTTCTCTTTCTTTACTCGCTTCTTTCCTGCTTTTCTCATTGCTATTGTTTATCTGTGTGTCATGATTTTCTGTCGTTACCATCTCCCTCACTTCATGTCCACCTTTGTTTCCTGTCGCCCCTCTCACCTTTTTCTTAGGTCTCCCTCTTCCTCTCTTTATTGTAAGGCCCGTTCCACTGCCCTGACGCCCAGCACTTGCTTCTACCCCACCATCAACTATCATTACATCATCTTTACTTTGCTCTACCGTCTCTCCTCCACCGTTCTCATCCGCACCTTCCCCCACCCCTCCTTCCAGCACACTAACATTATGTACATTGTCTTCCTGGACTTCCTCCACTACCACTTCAAGTCCTCCACTTTCCACAGGATGCATTTTCGCGTGCTTCTTTGCCTCGCGTGTAGTATGAAATCTCTCACCACAAATGTTACAACAATGTTTTGGATTCACATGTACAACATTAATATGTGACTTCAAACTCTTTTTCCGTGCAAATCCTCTTGGACAAATATGACACTTGAATGGTTTCCCATCTGAAACCTCATGAATTAAGATGTGCTCTTTGAGTTCTGAGCATGAGCTGAAGTAGTGGTTACATGTTTCACATTTAAAACGCTTTTCAGGTACATGGGTTTGTTCATGACGTTGTCGATTATTGCATTGCTTAAATGCTTTATCACAGTACCTGTGAAGAGAAAATAGTAGATTCAGTATTTTACTCCAATATTAGGATATTTTAATTGTCATAGACCATTGTTAAGAATCCACAAATACCTAACCTTATGAAAAATATAACCTTATTAATAACCTGCATTTAAAAGGTTTTTCACCAGTGTGAGTACGAACATGTTTTACAAGATCCTCAGCTCTACGAAATGCTTTCTCACAAGTACTGCATTTGAATGGTCGTTTATCAGAATGGATAAATTTGTGTCTGGTTAACAGCCTTTGATTTCTGAACACTTTACCACAATTTTCACATTCTTTAGGCTCTGTATCACTATGGATATCCATGTGACGCTTTAAGTTGGCTTTTGAAGCAAATTTGTTTCCACATATCGAACAAACAAACTCATTCCCAGGACCACTACAGGTCCGGGAATGTATCTCTAATTCTGCCTCAACAATAAATGTTTTTCTACAAACTTTACACCTGAAATATTTTGGGTTGATATGAACACGGTCTGCATGTCTTTTAAGATCTTGTCCTCGGCGGAATGATTGTGAGCATTGATCGCAGGAATATGGCCTTGAAGTTTTGTCATCCTTGTTATCATCTTTTGGACAGCTGTGAAAATATATAATTGAGTATGTTACTTAAATGCTATAAAGTATTGTATGCCCTTCTCCAGTGGTTTAAGCTTTTAGACTATGTTATAAATTCCAAAATATAAATTACTTGATTTCAAGAGTATTTCCAGCCGAGTTGACCAAATGAGGCATGGTTGAAATAACGTTCTGTTGTTCTGCAGAACCACATGTTTCTTCTTGTGACTCAATTGAATTATTTTGTTCTCGGCTATGAAGTTTGTGCTCAGCTGTTTTGTTAACAATGTTTTCTTGTTCATTTTTTTTCATACTTGTTTCACAATTAATTGAGTCCTGTGATCCAACAGTGCACAATGCTGCACAATTGATATGCTTCTTCATGTGTTCTTTCAGGCTGGATGGAATTTTAAATGACTTTTGGCAGATAGTACAAGTATGCCTTATCCCCAGGTGAATTCTTTGGATATGATTTCGGAGGGAGAATGCTTTCACAAAACTTTTGTCACATTCTGTGCATTTAAAAGGCTTTCCATCAGGAGCATCATGAACACTCATGTGTTTCTTTACCTCATATTTTGTATAGAATGCTTTGTGGCACATAGAACAGGTGAAAGGCTTCACATCTTTGTGAACAAGTTCATGGCGATATTTGTTTGACAGCTGAGTGAATGTCTTGTCACACAAAGAACACTGGTATGGATGCTCTCCACTGTGAACTCTCAAATGTACTTTTAGATTGTCATTACTTGTGAATGTTTTTTTGCAAACTTCACATTCATAGGGACGCTCATTTTGGTGGACAGACTTGACATGATGGTCCAACCTGTATTTAAAGTTATATGCCTTATCACATTGGGAGCAAGAGAACTTCTTTTTCTGCCTATGTGATATCAAATGACGTTTTAGGATGTGTTTCATTGCAAATTTTTTCTCACATATAAAACATTCAAAGTCATTTGCATTAGTATGATATTTTGTGTGGACAGTCAGATCCTTATTTGTCCGAAATGTCTTATCACAGATGTCACATTTAAATGGTTTTACATCTGAGTGTGTTTCTATGTGAAGCTTGAGGTCTCGTGGACGTAGAAATGACTTTCCACATTTGTCACATGTATATTCTCTTATTGCTGAATGAGATTTCTCGTGGTGAGCTAAATCACGTTTCTCTTTATATGTCTTGTTGCAAACACCACATTTAAATGGCCGCTCACTTCTGTGCGACTTAAAATGCTGCGTCAATCTGGATTTATCAACAAAGATTTTATCACAAACACCACATTTGTTTACTTTTGGGTCATCAGCATGGCTCTGCAAATGTGTTTTTAAATCAACTGCAGCAGCAAAGGTTTGTGTGCATATTTTACAGAAAAAAATATTTCCATATGAGTGATTGGTCTTAACATGTCTGACCATGCCATTCTTAGATTTATATATTTTTCCACATTCAAGACATGGATAAATATTGCCCTCTTTTGTGTCTTGAGAGTTGTCCATCTCATGGTTACTTTCCTCTGAACTTTCTTCCTGAATATCAACACTAGCTATTGTTTCAAGATTTTCAGTCTGATGAACCACTATATGTTCGCTCCAAGCTTGCTCATTTTCAAACGATTGCCCGCATGTATCGCATTGGATAATAATGTTTTCGTTGCCAAGTAAAGATATTTCTTCCATTTTCCACAATTTTCTTCGAGAAGAAATATTACTGTAACAGCATAACACGTGATAACGAATAATAAGAATTCGAATGTGAATTGTTCTGTGAGAAATTGTTTCAAAAATTGTCAGTAAAAAATGCGCATGCGTCATGGCCTTGGGACATGCGGAAGAACTTCATGTAAGTGAAGAAAAAATGACTAGGCAAACAGAATTATAGAATTATAGAACCTCACGGAGGGGAGGCGGGCTCTTATGTATATAACCATTCGTAAACGCCCTTGGACCCTGCCTTGCACCCTGCCTTGCACCATCAGGGCTGTAGGGATAACTCAGTGGTGATAACTATTGAATGTAAGGCATGGGAAATTCACCCCCCTTCGATCACCAAATCACGTAAAGTCATTATTGTCTGATCAAGTGACAGCAGGTGTTCAAGCAGTCGTGGGAATTTTTCAGTTTTAAAAAATATTTTTTATTAGAACGCGCCGATGCTAGTTACCATCGTTTAAAATTCAGTCTCGTATGTGTCTCGTGATGTGACAAACTTGCGAATAAGTGAGAGCATTCAGAGCAACGTCTTTTTGGTGTATGGGATTTTCCCGTAGTTTGACCTTTCTCCGCAGGTCGGTTGGTGGTTGGTTGTTCTGCAGAGAATCGCCACGTTGATTTTTTGTTGTAATTTGGTAATTTGAGCATTTTGGCATTTGATTTGAAACCATTCAATCAATGGTAAGTTCATACAGTCTATGTTTTTACAAGAGTGTTTACAAGAAAGCAAAAGTAATACTATCTTGTAATTCTAGTCTGCAAGAAACCTATTTATCTGTGCACCATAATTTGAGTTCACATTATTAAAAAATAAACAATTAATTTCAAAAAATTATCTCAGGATCGCCAAGACAGCTTGCGTTCATCCGAAGCCTTTAAGGATATGGCGAGGAGAGACGCTGAAGAATTGATGGCGGAAGAGTTGGAAAAATTATTAGCAACAGCTCCCAATGAGATTAGAGAAGTATGTTGCTAAAATCTACTATGCTACATATTCATTGTAGTTATTGCTATATTCTTACAAATTCAATTGACATTTTTTAGTATACTAAATTGAAATTGAAATCTAGAGACCATAAAAATGACCTATTGTTTCTAAAAGGTCTTTTATCCCCATTATGTAAATATTTTATTTAAATCTGTCCTATTGTGTAAACATTTTTGGCAAAGAAATAATTAAAAAGAAAATTATGCCATAATAAATGAATTTACTCTTATAGAAAACAAAGGCAGAATTCAATCAGTTCCAAGAATTATTTTCAAGATTTCTAAAAGAAGCTGGGAATGCAGTGGACTGGAGCAGAATTAAACCACCGCCTGAAGCCAGAGTAAGAATTAATTTCTTTGTTTATCAAAACACTGACTCAATTATATCCATTGACAACTTAGATGTATCAAGTTATATTAATTAATATATATATATATATAAAATTCAGAATCCTCCACAAATCAAGTCTATAAATTAAATATTAATTTTATTAACATTTGTAGATACAACCTTATGCAAGTTTGTCTTCCGAATTTGATAACAGATCAAATGTGAAGGCATTGTTGGATAAATTAGTTGTGATAAAGCTGAACGGGGGACTTGGAACAAGTATGGGATGTGTTGGTGCAAAAAGTCTGATCCCAGTTCGCAATGAATTGACATTTCTTGATTTGACTGTTCACTTGATACAGGTAAGGTGGCACATATGGCAATCAAGATGCATTCTGTTACCAGAAGATCTCTCTGTCCTTAAATTTTCCACCTGAATAATATTTAAGTTAGTTGATAACTTTTTTCTGAATATCATTTCAGAATTTAAACAGAAAGTATGGATGTAATGTACCATTGGTGTTGATGAATTCATTCAACACTCATGAGGAGACAATGAAATTGATAAAGAAATATGAAGTTTTCAATGTTACCATACATTGTTTCAATCAAAGTTGTCATCCAAGGATAAATAAAGAATCATTACAACCTGTTGCAACTACCATGGTCAATGGGAAAGGGGAATGGTAAGGCTTCTGTCATGATACATAATAGTACAGTAAATGTGCTTTTTTACTACCAACTTAAAAAAACCTTTTTAAGGTGGTACCCTCCAGGACATGGTGATACATATCAGTCATTTTACAATTCTGGTTTACTTGATCAGTTTTTGTCTCAAGGAAAAGAAGTTGTTTTTATCTCAAACATTGATAATCTTGGAGCAACTGTTGATATTCGTATCCTTTCCCTGTGACATTAAAATGGAATTTAATAGTGTAAAAAATTAACCCAGGCTATAAAAATTTGTTCCATTCATTTGAACAAGGGTTTTCAAATTATAGGCATAAGAATCTAGTCTAATAGTAACAGGTTAAGTATTTTTAGGTTCTAAACTTGGTTATGGTATTTTTGATTTCTAATTCCAATTTGAACTCCTTGACATGCATTTAGCTATATTGAATTTTATACTTAATCCTCCAAATGGAACAGTTGAGTTTATCATGGAAGTGACAGATAAGACAAGGGCTGATGTTAAGGTGGCTGTGTTATCCCTGGTTGTTGTTTTTGAAATAAACTAGCTGTGCCAGATTACAGTATCAATTGACCTTCTTTTTTAGGGTGGAACCCTCATTGAATATGAAGAAAAACTTCGATTGCTGGAGATAGCCCAAGTTCCAAAACATCATGTATGCTGTTGGATAATTGTTAATTCATTAATTTTTGTTTTACAAATATCACCAATATTTTGCCATTTTTGTGATGTTAATTTGAATGCAACCCATATCACACATTTTTTTTCCATTTAGGTAGATGAGTTTAAATCAGTTACAAAGTTCAGGTGGGGTGATGTTTCATATGTATGCAACTGCACAATATTTTCATGACAATGTAGTGTTTAGGAGCAGATGAAACAATCGTAGACAACAAAAATCCATCATTACTGTGTTCCAAAACTATGTATTTTTAATCTATATGAATAATAAACTTCATCTTAGGTTATGTATGTAGTTTCACTATTATTCTAAAGTTTTTGTCTCATATTTCAGAATATTTAATACAAACAATCTCTGGGTAAGATTAAGTGCAATAAAGCGATTACTTGATGCAAAGAAAATGCACATGGAGATCATTGTAAATAATAAGGTGAGTTTTGTAAATGAAATGTTGCATAAAAACTTATTAAAGTTTTATTTGATTTTTGTCCGACTTGTGTACTAAAACCATGTTAAAAATAGGAAATTTCAATCCTAGAATCTTGAAAATGGTTACAATGTAATACAATTAGAGACAGCAGTTGGTGCGGCCATTAAGAATTTTGAAGGAGCACTTGGTAAGGTCTAATGCAATATGAAGCACATATTTCATTTAGTGTTTTCAGCAATGTTCTATAGCTGTCAATATTCTCAAATTAAAAGGTATCAATGTTCCACGTAGCAGATTTCTTCCAGTGAAGAAAACATCAGATCTTTTGTTAGTCAAGTCCAATCTGTACACAACAAATGATGCTGGTTCTCTAATGATGAATCCTAGAAGACAGTTTGCAACAACACCTTTAATACAGCTTAGTGGGCCATACTTTTGGAAGGTGACTTCAAAGTGTTTTTGTGGACCACTCTATTGCTAATTCATTTGACAAGTGATTTAGTCAAGACCTGTATTTTGTTTTAGGTGCACAGTTTTCTTGAGAGATTTCAAACCATACCTGATATCCTGGAACTTGACCATCTCACTGTGTCAGGTGATGTCACATTTGGTAAAGGGGTCATTTTGAAGGTTAGTTACATTAGCAAATTCAGAAAGTTTCAAACATCTTCCTAATAATATGCGGTAATTCATATTACATGTTTTGTCCAAATTTGTTTTAGGGTACAGTGATCATCATAGCTAATCATGGAGATAGAATAGATATTCCTGCTGGAGCTCTTCTTGAGAATAAAATAGTGTCTGGAAATCTGAGAATTTTAGATCATTAACTATAGGGTTTGGGATGATTCTAATTTCTAAAGCATTCTGAATCCGACCTTAATTCTTAAAACACAATTGATTTTTGTGTTCCTCTATCTTAAACACACTGCAAGCTCCATTCCAAAGTCTTCATGGCAATATTTCAAAAGCATTTTAAAACTGTTTAGTATGTAATCTAATATATATCAATGTAGTTATTTTTTTAAGCATATATTTACTAACAATCTGGCAAATTATAGTGAACAGGATTGATCATCGGGTGTAAACAAATTGTTCCAGTATATAGTCACAGAGATATATATATATCATGACTCCTAACTAGTTTAACATGACTAATGAAACTAGGACTAATGAAACTAGGACTAATAAAACTAGGACTATTATGAGACTTGAAAATTCTGAAATCAATATTTCCAAACTATCCAGACAGTAACTGTGTAATTAGTGTGCTGTGCGACGACTTCCGTTTTGTTGTCTCGTCCAGTCAAGAGATATCATTGTTTTTCACTTTTTCGACAGAAGTGTTCACTTTTGTTTATTTTTATTTATTTTTATTTACTTTTGTTTACTATTTACTCGCTCTAAGCCTCAGACTCCACTGCTCTACACTCCGTCAAACTCAAGATGGCGGAAAATCAGGAAAATGTTGATTTAACGAAGTCAGAAACTTGTAAAAAAGTTAGCGAGCCAGAAGTTGTTAACCCTGTAGACAATGATGCATTTAAAATTCCTAGTGTTATTCAAAAGGACACCAAGCCAAACGAACCAGTTGTGGTAGAGAAAAAGGAGAATATTCCTGAACTTAAATATAAAGCACCGTGGTGGAGTGCTATTCCCCCAAAAGACGAAAATTACAACTTAGAAGTATTAAAAAACGGCTGTATTGTTTCGACTATAAACTTAAATGACAAAGCTTATCATGTTTTTGGACGGTTACCATTATGTGATGTTGTCTTAGAGCATCCATCTATATCAAGATACCATGCATTGGTTCAATACAGAGGAAACACAGATGGGGATCCCTCTTTAAGTGGATTTTACCTCTACGACCTTGGTAGTACTCATGGAACAGTTGTTAACAAGAGTAAAATAAAACAATGTACTTATTATCGACTAAAAGTGGGATATGTTATTAAGTTTGGTGGAAGTTCCAGACTATTTGTCGTCCAGGTTTGTACTTTGCAACAGTAAAGTCTATAGTGTCATATATAGAAGCTCAATTAGACAATATGATATATAAATATACTAACTATCACATGAAGGGACCCAGAGATGATGATGAAGAGGTAAATTTACAGCCATCAAAAATAGCAGAGAATAAAGCAAAAGTGGGTCAAATATTTACAGATGAAGAATATGACAGTTTGAAAAAAGTTGCAAGTGACAGTGAAAAAAGTGAAGGCATTGATTGGGGATTTGGTAATTATGTTTAATTTATCTGTTGACCTTCCTGGACAATTATAATATGTAGTTGTGCTATTAGGTGGCCACATGAAGTCTTGTAATTCATGGTAATACTCTTCAGAAATAGTTTGGACTTTTATGATTGGCCACAATTAAGAAAATTAAGGCTCTTAAGCTCAATAATGTAATTATTAGTAAAAGATTTATTTAATATCTTTGTTTATTGTACTTCACCTTCAGGTGAAGATGCTGAAGAAGAGCAAATTGACTCGGAGAAATTTCAAGAGTTGTATTCAGGTGTCGAGTTTAAAGATCCGAAAAAGACACTAAGAGGATATTATGAGAGAGAAGGTAAAGACGCAGACTAAATTAAGGGAGAAATTCTAATTCAGTCTGTGAGTAAACAAGTTAGAAGTTGAAAAGAAAATCAACTATGAATGCATGGACCAATATTGTTTTTTTTTAAATCTTCCTTTAAAATTATATTTCAACTTGCTTGTATTTCATTTTTTATAAAAGGTCTTGAACTGGACTACCAGGTTGATGAAACAGGACCAGGTCATGCACGTGTTTATCATTGTAGAGTAAGGTAATTTCAACATTCATGATTTTTAAGATTTTTATTGCAGTATTTGCAAATGTGTTATTGTTATTTATATTTACTCTTAAGGTTACCTGTGGATGGTCCTAATGGATCTGCTGTCTTTGCTGAAGCTTCTGTGACAGGTCGAAAAAAAGATGCAGTAAAGGAATGTGCAAATGAAGCATGCAAGATGCTGGATGCTTATGGATTGTTGAGACAATCATCACATGGTAATTAAGCCAAATATGACATAATGACCGGCATCATGTGCTAGCTGTTCTCGTGTTATTTGATTTCAGTATTTTCATTCTTTGTTGCAGAAAGCCGGAAGAAAAGGGAGAGAAATTTAGAAGAGGATGATTTCTATGAAAGTGATGAAGACAATTTTCTTGACAGAACTGGAACAAGTAAATCTTTATTTCATTCTGGTTGCTCTTATGATCTGGGTCTAATAGCTAACAGCTTTAATAGCTACTGATATATTTAACTTTAAATTTAGTTGAGCAAAAAAGATTAAAGAGAATGCGCAAGGCAGGGAAAGACAAGTCAGAAGTTGAGACCTATGACTCCTTGGTAAGTTATAAATGTATATGTACATTCAATTTCTTGTTCTTTCATTCTTTTTACACAATATCTTAGATATATATTTTCTTAATTTTTCCAGTTGTGCAAACTTGAAAAAGTTCAAAAAGAAGTAAAGACATTTGTTGAAAGAATACAGAATGCAGAAGGTGTGTTTACATGAGGATAGTGAAGATGTGAAGCAAAATGCCTGTTAAATGCCTGTTCTTGCTTACAGCTTTAGATGAAGCAAACAATAGTGATAGTTTGGATGATTTCATGGACACTATGTCTCAAAGAATGGACCGACAGACTAAAATCAAGTTGAAGAGAAAGATAGTAGAATTAAAGAAGGTAATAATGACAGCTTGTGTCCAACAATGACATTGAAGTAAAGTTTGAAATTACACTTTCTCATTTTAACCTTGACTTTACCATGCATTTAGTTCTTCACTTCTGCTTGATTGTCTGTCAACTCACTTGTATTTTAGGATGAAGAGAGACTAAACAAACTTCTTACTCTGGCAAAACCAACAGATCTTTCTTCACTGCAAAGGTGAGCTTTCGTTTACCTCAACAAGTTTTACATGTGGTTTTACAAATTGTGTAGATTTTCATTGTTTTCCCTTTGAAATGCTATCTGGCTGGCTTTCTAATAATAATTGTATCCACTTTTTAACAGCTCAGCACAACCTTCACCCATTGTGTCTAATGTTAGTCCTCCCACAAAAACACCAGGAAATAAAGTACCAGGTTAGACTGATAAAATTTTAAACCTAGCTATCTTCATTTGATGCAATTCTTGATTTTGTTCTATGACTATGTTTTGCACTGCACATGATTGAATATGCATCATGATTCATGTTGCAAGTTTTGCAACAGCGTTATAATGTATGTTGTTGTTCATGTACGGTATTGTGTTGTACCGTCCTGTATGAAACATTTTTGGGGGCAATGCAGTGAATATGTTTTGTACATCAACTATTTAGATTATGCAATGAAAGAAATCGCAGAGCCTAAGAACTCCGAAAAACACGAGCTCACATTAAGACAGGAAAATTCAAGTACTGACAACCATAGTTTAGATGCAAACATTTCCGCTGAAAAGACCGTTCTAAAATCAAAATCATCCAGTGGTTTTGCGGTGCCTACGACTACAGTAAGACCTGCTAAAGCAAGGACAAAAGTCACCACGCAAAGAAAAGACGGAGAAGAAAATCAGAAATCAAAGTCGACGTTGATTCACTCGGAATGCGAGGTTAAAATTGAACAAGACTCTAGTAAAGATAGAAAAAGAATTGATATACCTAAAAATACCTCAACGGTGATTGTTTTTGTATTTTTTATGATTAAATCTATGGTTTAATATAAAGAGACCCTACTTGATAAAAAGAAAGCTCGCTAGTCAATATCGACTATCACCTTGTAATAACGAAATCTCGTCACGACTTTCCCTCAACAAGTCCCTTGATTTGCCGTGTTGGGTGGTTTTAATTCTGAACTATTCCTGGCTATTATGAACACTGGTTCCGTTAGTTATATACTAGTTTTGTGATGTTTTCACTCTTGGTTTTTAAAAGGTGAATCGTTATTCTGTGGCAACTGAAGACGCGAGTGATCCATACTTCACGAGCTGGACACCACCTGAAGGTCGGTTCAACTCCGCAAGATGCATATTTTCTCAACATACTTTAATTTATAGATGAAATCAACAGCCCATCTACTTTAATTATAGATCAAGTTGGTGATGGTAAGACGAAATTGAATGAAAAATATGGCTACTGAATCTCTTCAAAAACCCTTCCAGCTGGAATGTGAAACCGGTATGACATTCACTATGTACCTTTACTCATATTTAAAAAATCATCTTCCCCTCTTGTACATACTGTACTAAGATGGTTAGATTCATAGGTGAGGTAAAGTCTGTTCTCTCTAGTTATTCATTTAGAAGCATAGTGAACTGATTCACGTTTGTTCACTACTTACAGACTTTACACTACTAGCTTTAGCCTCATCATGGCCAAAAATGCAATTTTTTCCATCTGGAAAAAAGTCCATTTTTGGATTAGGGTGCTCAATATGGTGGCTTTCTCAAACATGAAATATGACTTGCGACTTGCAAGGGAGATAAGATATGATAAGAAAACTTCTGAAGTAGAAGTCTTAAGTAGTGTTATACAGAACTACACACTAAGGAGCCTTGACATATTATCACAATAATTTCACATAACACAAAGTAAAGTACTTCTTGCTCATTGTCTTTGTAAAATTAACACCGCCGATGGAACTAAGTTGCATTCCTTTAAAGACTTGTTCATATCCATTTCATTAAAAGTCTTCTTTGGAAACATAGTTGATAAAGTAAATGGCAAAGAACCATCTGTTCTGTTAGACTCCACAAAAGACACAATACTTGATAGCAGGTCTGTTGGCTTGAATGTCCCTGTGATTGCTGTACCATTTGTTAGGCGGAACTGCAGGAAAATATTGCATAAACATGAAAATCTTTATCACGATTGGTTTTACCAAGGGGTCTGTCAGGTGAAATGAGATTATTGGGCTTCATATTATACAATAAAAAGGAAATTCGAGGGTATCAGATCAAGATAAATATTAAGCTATGTGTAGTAGTGAAAAAATAGATAACAGAAACCTGCAGCCTGCATGTAGTGTATTCTTTGGTGGCAGATTGTTGATCCCCTGGCTGTACTGATGATGTAGTTACATGACTTGTGGGTTTACCAGTTGAAGGAGACTGAAATATGAATGAATAAGTTATCTAAAGCAAGTGTTTGTTGACTGAAATCATGCACCTATGGAGTTTGTCACCTGTGAAGCTTTCTCAGCACGATCCTGAGCAATCTGTTGTTTCAGTTTTTGTCTAGTAAAACATGTTATAAAATGTCATAATAAAAAAAATCCAAATATTATTACAGTTATCTCTTTCAGAAATATAAATTGTTAATAAATTTCTCAATTTTTTAAAGGCAATAACATAAAGGTAAATACCTCAGTTTCTTCTCCTCCAACTTTTCACGTCTTCTCTGTTCTGCAATCTTTTGAGCTTCTTGCATCTCAAATCTAATTTCAAACGAGAATGGATGGAATTACATATTTTTAAAAGATAAAATCACTGGTACATGTCTAATTTTTTACTTTTGCTTGAAGTTTGTCATTTCTTTGCCAGTTTTTCGCCTGATTTTCTCGCGTTCAACATTCTCCTAGAAATAAGTTTGATGCTGTTTCTTTCAAATCAACTATAATCATCAATTCCATTGAGCTATTTTGTTCCCTATTTAACTGGATCTAACTTTTGAATGCACCAAAACATTGCAGGACCTGTTTCTCTTTCTCTTGTCGTTCTTGACGTTTTTCAACAATCTTTTCCTGTAACCTAATCAAAACCAAAATGGCATTTGGTGAATTAATTTATTTAGTACATTACATAAAATATATTAATGTTCCTATCATACATACTTTACTAACTGGGCCTTTTTCTCTTCCTCAGTCAATGGTCTTATTTCTTCTGTTGATTCAGCAAAATTCTGATGACCAGTTCGAGCAGCATGCATCTAAAGTAATGATCAAAACACACCTTTGCAACATGTTACTATGGCAATATATATCAGCATTCAAGTCTATACATAGTATTACACCAGCAGTTTTCCATTTTGCTTAAAAGAAATTAAGGAAGAAATTTTTGGGTTTTTTGCCAGCTAATATTAATGTGATAAATATGACATACCTAAAATCATGAATTTCATGTGAAATATTTATACCTGCACTTGGGCTTCAGTTTTTAACAACTTTCCACACCTAATAATAAAGTTACGATTCAGAGCTAAGAAATTATACCTGCAATAATTGTTAAGTATTGTAAATTATGAAAAAGATCGACTTACTCTTCACATTTTAAGGACTGGGCTTGAGCTGAAGCAGATTGTTCATTAGTTAGTTCCACTGCACCACCATTTGTTTCTTGTTCATGATTTTCATCTGTTTTCAAAATTATATTTAATAATTACAGATTATATTTGCCCATCATGAATGTTATGTCTTTAGGGATTGTCATTGCATTGGGATACAGAACATGATTTGCCTCTGCAAATAGCTTAGAGCTGTGCAGCTTGCTACTTCAGCCTCAAAACCTATGACTATTTGTGCCTTGTTCCTATGGTGTGTTGATAAATATACCAGGAGTTTTAGTTTCGGCTCCAAGTGTATGTCCTTGGTCAGGTTTCAGTGGTTCATCAATATCTGAATCATCAGCATGTGCAAATAACCTAGAAAGTTTGTTTAACTTTAGAAAAAATAAACTGGGATTATGGGAGTTTAATTTGCCTGGATCTTGCTCACATATATGACATATGTAATGTTATGATTGTTCATTATAATTACTCCTGCACCATGTCACTTACTGACCACTATGACATGTCACTATTACCCCTTGTGGTCCACACTCCACAGGAGAGTGACAGTGCATGTGCCAGCAAATGAAAAAGATAAAAGCAAATTTTGAATATATTTCCTACCAGTCCATAGCAGATTGCACACCCTGATGCCTTGTAACAGCCAAAGCTTTCTCACTAAAATATACATGTTTAAAAATCATCATTTTATATTAATGGCAGATTTAATATGAAAAGAAAATTAAGAAATATCGTGTTTTTAACAAATATTAACAACTTACGCTCTGTTCTTGGGAAATCCCATTTCCATAAGGGTATCAAGGTCTGACATATTGGAAGTACAAATTTTACAGTAACTTTCGACTATTCTTTAATGATAAATTATAAAATATTTCACATTTCGTATTCAATGATTTGTTTAAAATTTGCATATCAATATTTAACCGGAAAGAAACTTTCCCCCCCCCTGGGAAAATTGCTCGCAAAAATGGAGGATAACTAGGTTAATTAGGTGTGTCCAGTGTCCATAGGTTTTATGGAAAACTACGTCCCCTAGATTAGGAAGAATTGGTTAAAAATCAGTCTGTTGTACCAGAGTCGGCAATTTTTTTGACGAATTTGGGACTGTGTTTGAATTTATTCAGTTCAGGTGTTCACACAGCAAGATCCATCAGCGTGATTAGTATACTTTGTTACAGAGATAATTTATCACTGCAGATAATTTTGTTATTTACTTCTTCAAAACTATTTACAATTGTTACGTTTCTGCTATAAAATATGCACGCTACACCCCGTTGCTGCTGAATATGAGCTGATATCTGTTTGAAACCAGAAGAGTGCTCTATACAAAAATACATTTAGATTGACAACTCATATGGGAGTCAAACATCTGGTGGCAATCCTAATTCCGCTTTGCAGTCAGTGAAATTTCTTCTTTTTCCAACTCCATTGCTGCATTCTGGGATTCACTAGCCTCGTTTCCATTATTCCTGGCCCAATATAAGCCTTCAGCGGACGTTATTATTACAGATTCATATGGAGTTTATTTAATAAAGTACTGAACCATGGCAACGTGTTTTATAGCTCGTCACTTGTTTTCAGCAAGACCTTCTTTGCCACCCTCAATCATGACGTCAGCAAGTATGCTATAAATAGCAAACCAAGCAGCTTCAACGTCGGATGTGAATATTTCACCACCAATTTCTTTTTTCAGTGTCCAGAGTAAGGCGGAGCCAACAGCCTATTCGTTAAAATAAATAAAGAGTGTTGATTCTCCTTGCCCCCTGAACAGCATTTGTTCATAGTATACCCACCTGAAAGTGTTCTGGTTTCACATTATATTTAATAAAATGTCTCTTGCCCAAATTTTTCAGTTTTGGAATGAGTTCTGGCAGATTTCCAAGTCGACGAATGGCGAAATCAATCATTGACATGAGCATTTTCGCTTGACGTTTCAAACCTGGATCATCGCATGTCATCTCAGTGTTGTTCTTGTTTGATGTAAATGAAAACAAACTTTTCAACTCTGGATTTTCACTAAACAATCTAAATGTACATTGTTGACTTAGTCTTTGCACTTCCTCTCTCAAAATGAACACGCTGTCATATTGGAACACGCTCTCATCATAAACAGTCGCATTCTTTCGCCATTAAATCAATGACCCACAACAATGACATCGCTGATGAGTTTTTAACTGGTTTATTCCTGTCGTATTACAAAGTGTTTGACAATCGGAGAAGAAAATGGATCAATGATAATTTGGATTATGTGGAATGATTATAAATGTTAAGTCTCGGGCACACGAGAACTTTTGCCTGCACTAATAATTTTGGGCGACTGCAGCTAAAATTATCGCACCGTGACAGAAACTGGTTCGCGAAGTAGAATCATCTGAGAAACTATCATAATATCAGCGAAACTTGTCAAGGAAACAGCAGGTCGTTACTTTAGCTGGTCGAAGCTGCGGGAAATGCCGTTGAAATTCTGCAAGTTAAGTTGTCGGACAACCAGGAGACCATGCATAGTCTTGGAGTCGTTCAATGGTAAATGGTGAAATAATCTTACCTCTCATAGAAGACAATTCCATTACCAACCATATCTTTCTTCACCAAGGCCCACGTTCTGACAACTTTTTCAACCTGTTGAGACAACGAGTTCTCGTCTGCTTTTTCCTCAGATATTTCAGTTGGTAAACCGTCTAGTCTGGGGACACTAGATTGCTGTTTACACGCCATTGAGATGATGAAGTAACGTGCTGTAGTTGCCCGCCTAATACGAGTAATGCCCTAAACAACCAAAAAATTTTTAACCATAATGGGTATGGACTAAGAAATATTCCTTTTACAACTTCCTTATTTTCGTTAGAAGAAGTTTTACCTCAGGGTAGATCTTGTATATACTCATTCGTCAACACATTACTAATAACGGTGTTTATTTGAAACGTTTCTTTGTTTAAATATATTAACATCGTATACATCCAGTATATTGTATATATCCAGGCATTATCACCATAGCTTACCATCACAACGAATATGTGCATGCGTTACCACTTCGCGTATAAACTATATTCGAATGAAAAACACAGGTATCTCGGATTTTTTAGAACAGATATATCACCGCGAGCCTCAAAAACAGTCTTTTTTTAAATGATGATATATGGTGATGCAAGAAATGACTAAAAAGGTTTATCTCTGACATCTGACGTTCTCTGACTTATAATTTCCATTAAATTATCGATCGCTTGCTAATGATGATAAAACAATAATTACCTTATAATATCAATACACAATCCACTTTGTATTAAGATAAAATTTCCTTCTTCGCATGCAGCATTGACATTGTTATGACTGAGAATTTTAGAAATAAATTCATTAAAGGTGTCGACAGAAAACCATAGAAACCATTTATAATTTATATATACTTAACTAACCACCGCGCGCGTCTGTTGGGATGCATGGTCAAGTCATGCAGTTCTTATTTATTGTACGAGTGAAACAATTCTTCAAACAATTTCGCGCAAAAGGAACCGATTGTTCATAACATGAAAGATGTGTCGGATATAGGCGCTTGCTATCGATCAGGGGAGGTACCTTATAAATCAGCTGTATACTGCATGAGATATATACTTCCAAGTATAACCTGCATGTTTTTCATTATACCATAACGAAATTATATCGAAGAGTCTCTGCTCCAAATAAAGTAAGACAAGTTTAAAACAAGACAATAACACCCCGCGGTTCAGTTTTAATTCGTATATATATTTGTGGAATGTGAGATTTTGTTAAAGCTATACAAGATACTGTGCCAGAATGTTCGAGAGCCAAGAATAATACCAGACAATTATCACCAAGCATGTAGCGTGTCTCAAAAAGAGGGAGTATACCTCTCATTTTATTCTGAACATATACCTTTATCTCCCACTTTTTTGTTCGTCCCTAGCTGCATGTATGGGGTATTTAATTACAATTCCAACAAAACTTCCAAACGAGGTGTATTACCATTCGCTTCGACTGTTCAGTACTCGTTCAGTACTATCCATTACAACATCAAACCTCAAATGTTGTGTTTACTTTTGTATCTGTAACTTTAAAGATATAAACTGCAAAATCTAATTTATGTTTTTTAGAAAGTTCGTTTTGTCTATTAATTGTCATATAAATATAATGATGCATGCATGTATAGCTATAACACTTCTAAGATATAAGAACGCTGCAAAACCAATTTGATATAGAATCTGAAGCCGTACTTCACAATTTCAAACAACAGTAAAACTGACAACACATGCAGTCGAGAAACTGGAACTAAAAACTCAACAACTGAACGACATGTTCACAATTCGAGATGAGTTACCTAACATTTTTCTGTCAAATTGCGTCATTCCAATGTTTTTTTTAATATTTTCAAAAGAGTAAATTAGATAAAGACTTACACGCTCGTCTCTGAAAATCCAAAACTAAACTTTCATTTCTGTCGCTGAATTCTTTGGATTTTCAACACTTCAATTTACAAAACTTTATTAAACGCCTGACCTCTTTTTTACGTCTGCATAATATCAACATTGCCATTGGCGCGATAATCCTATTAATTTCATTGTAACTGAACATGCATGTATAAGAACGTTCATACCGCAATGATCGCAATTCATACTAATACAACTGTAGTCTATGTATTGTAATCATGCATATGTTAAAACAATTTCTCTTCGGCATTTTGTTCAGTTGTCAAATTTGAGAAAAACGTAATTTCATTATTGTATAAATTGCTTGATATTGTAAACTGAATTTGGTGAAAATTAAATTAGGACCGGAAAATGAAATTATAATTCTTGAAAGAATGCCGCGGAATAACAAAACAACACGGGGTGATTTTTTAAGCAGATGATGCAAAAATGCTGCAAATGCACCAAGTTTGATCATTTTTAACCAAGTGTTCCTGCGTCTTATCTATAAACTACATACTATAGAGTATATAGATAGTAGCTATTACCCAGCGAGTTGATAAAACGCTTTAAAAACAAAATATTTTTATATGAATCAGTTCTGCATTGCAGATGTTTCAGTTCACAACCCTCTCATTACTATCATCAGAATTATGATTTATCACATAAAAATAACTGATATACGTGTGGTCTATGCGTGTGGACTGACAGGACTGTGATGCATCGAACTTTGCTGCATGGTATATACTGTACAATTTGAATACGATAAAAAAATCACATATGCATGATAATTGTGATTAATATTTGGAATTTTTGCAATACTCGTTTAATATTACCAAACAGAGTAACCGGGCATGTGAATAATCGCTTGATTAGATGAAAGGATGTGATATAAGTAGTTTGATACAGTAATATGATCAGTTTACACTAATCGATCCACCGTCCATCACAGTCTTTCCTCCTTCAATCATGACGTCAGCAAGCATTGTGTATATAACAGTCCACGCTCTCTCAACTTCCGTTGTAAATAATTCTCCCAAACCAACTTTTAATGTCCAAAGTAAGCACTCGCCAACAGGCTGAAAAATGTTATCAAACCATAAGCCACGGAGAGAATTAGCTGACATTATCGTCGTTGAACTGACGAAACTCTATAACTTAATAATTCTGTCAATTAACCTGGTACCTTGAAGTGCTCGGGTTTAACTTCGTAATCAAGGAAATGTCTTGCACCAAGAACTTTCAATTTTGGAGTGAGTTCTGGAAGATTACCCAGCTCACTAACAGCATAGTCAATCATTGACATAAGTAAATAAGCTTGATTTTTTAACCCTGAGCTATCGTCCATCTGGCTTCTTACTTCAGAGGAAAATGAAAACAAACTTATGACCTCTGGATGGGTAGTGAAAAGTCTAAAAGTGAATGAGAAAGTTTAACAACGCGTGCTCTTGTCAGCTACCTCTGTAGCTCGGTGGCAAGAGCATTGCACCAGCATCGCAAAAGCGTAGGTTTGATTCTTGCCGGTGGACCGTCAACTTATCCCGGCTTGAATTTGAAGTGTGTACAATTCCACTCGAAATTATGAGTATATAGTTATCTATAACCCAGACTATATTGTAAACAGAGAACCTCACTCAACCGATATACTCGTCTTTTTTTATAATTCACCCCACTCACCACACTCTCGCGCTCTAAAAGAAATATTTCTTTAGCTGTACCTTCTGTAAAAAACCTTGCCATGTTTAAGAGGATCTTTGTTCACTAACTCCCATGTTTGTACCACAGTTTCCACAATTTTCTGTATATCATCTTGTTTTTTATCAACCACCACCTTTTCGAAGATATTCTTCGCCATTACATTTGCTTCCTCGGTACTTGCCATTACAGATCTGAATAAACAAATAGTTTTTACTGGATGTTTCTTATGAACACATGTAAACGCCGAGACATACCAAATATTTCACGCTGCATCAATCGTGCATTAAATGATAGTCATATTGCTTCACAGTTACAATGATTCATGAATGCACTTAAAACATGTCATTCAGTCATTGGAGGTTCAGTCAGTTCTGAAGATGAATACCTGAACCGGAATTACAGTTCAGTCACCACTGATAAGTATTAGTGGTGATACAATATATACATATACCTGAATCACCACTTTTTTAATTACTGGTATTCTACACTACACTGTACACACCAGTAAATATTGTAATAAGAATACTGGTTATGTGTATAGAATGATAAATCCTGAATAAATGACCGTAGATAGAGATGGTATGGAAGATAAAGACTACACACACAATACCACAAATGAAACGGCGCAAATTGTAATAATAAAAAGCGAGTTACCTTGAGCTGATTTTCGTCAATTGACTTACAACTTTGAATCACGCAACTTTCAATAGTAATACCAGACTAAGGCGATTAAAATAAACTTTAAGTCTTATTTGGTCGGACTCGGTGGGGGGACCACTCCAATAACTGAAGTTCGTATGTCCAACCAGGTAAAGCGTATAATTAGATACGTATGGTAGTTGATAATAATTGCGACATTTGAATAAAAGAAACAGTGAACACACCCGAATCATACCTTAAACCGTCTTTGGTCTCGTAAATGACAGATTAAAGCATTCCTAGATAAGTCTCTGATAAGAATTTTATTCTAATATCACACCAGCATTTATCGTAAAATGTATAATCGATGTTGAATAAGCGCTGTCTACTTTTAAATGTTCTAACGCAGTAAAGAAATATGATTGAAATGGTAGGAATGTCTCTCACTATACGTGCTCCTTTGTCAATGTCATGGTCTAATGTAATATTACAATGATATCGTTACTTAAGACTGCTTTTTATAAAATGATTAGGTCGCAAAAGTATCAGATGTGCTCATGGGGGATTTCATTATCCATATTAGCTCTTTGTGTTCTTGTGTTCACTAATAATTGTTTGCAATAGCAGTGAATACCTTAGCATGCATTATGGTTACGATACTTAATGAAACCGCATTCATGAGCGTTTCATGAGAAAACATAGTATACAATAATTACTTACCAATTTAAAGATCTTTTGCCTTTGAGATGGAGTATACAATCCAATGATTAGGTTTAAAAGAAAAACACAAGGAGCATCATCAATATTCACTGTAAATTATTAGACATATTAGAGTTCGTTCATGGGCGACAATCTTAGATGATTACCTGACCTATTAATTTATGTGGGTCACAAGTATAATCATTTTATCAATTCATCTTTGCTGACAATCAAAAAATTACTTATTAAAATCATGTTTATTTCAATATAAAATAACATAGGTATTACTGTAGGTTTCAACTAGAAAAAATAGGAATAAAAGGGTAAATAAATGTATTTCTTTTACAGTTTATATCACATCTGTCCTCGGTAAAGTTTAGTTAACAATATGTCTGCCTGAAAATACCCAGTCCTCTTCAACATACTGTACATATGGATATTATAACTTAATAATTGTTGCTTATAATCAGTTCCTCTGGTCTTGTGGAACAATTTTTATAATCCGCTATTTACCATCAGTTTTCTTCTTAGCATGCAGGAATCCAGATGTGCTTGAAAAATACCTAGCATTGGCATCAGCTACTCGTTTCTCAGCTGCATGAGGGTTGACAATTTCAAGACCCTGGAGGGGAGTGAATGCAACGCTTGATGCCGTGCCGGATGTTTGACCACGGACAGTTGATTTGCCGCCATATGTAGCTTGACCTTGTTGAAGGTTTCGCTGAAAAAAAATTATTGCAGTACAGTTTCAGAGTCATGGTTAAAAATTAACTTTTGATAGTTGCATTAGTAACTATTTGATAAATTACCTGCAATCTCTTAGACACAGAAACTTGTGTTTTCTTATCCACTGCAGCGGCTCGTACTTTACCAGAACCTTTTGCTTGAGTACCAACTGAGAAACCAATATCAGTTTGAAACATATCTTCCTCAATCTTGCCAAACTGAACACGATTGGCTTGTCGACGTAACTCTGTTACTGCCGACTTCTCTTTCATTTTCCTTACACGTCGTCCACCACGCTTTTTCTTCGGTGCCTCATCAGGTCTTGGCAGAGGCTTGGCTTCTTTCAAAGGGGGTGGTTCCTGCCATTTTTCGAACTTTTGTTCAATATCTTCAAACAATCCTCGACCCATACTTCCATCAACACTTTCATGAAAACTGTCAACTCGAGCAGCCAATGTGCATTTTGCTGCTACCAAGCGAGCACCTTTCTTTCGGAAATCTGGTGGTAAACTCTAAGGGTTGACAAATGAAAATTAAAAAAATGAAATTTTAGCACATTTGTTAAAACTCTCTGTTATATACCTGTACTAAATCACAATGGTAGATGTGGCCTGTGTGAGGTAGGATAGCTGCACTTGAGAAACCAGTCAATGTTTTCTTTTGTGCACCTAACAACATGACATTACATGCTGGCATTTTTGACAATCCAGTTAAACCTCCAGCACTTCCCATTAGTTTTGCTGCAGCTGTTGCTCCAACGATCCAGGAAGTATTTGGGGCAATGAATGACATCTGTGACTCAACATATTCAAAGATCTTTGCTTTAGCATCAACAAGATCTAGCGCCATTTGACAAGCTTCCATAACACGTTCCAGCTCATCATGTTCTAAATGTTCACCTTGGGTTGTTGATGCTGTTACACTAACAACATCTTTGTTGCAGGAGGTAAAATTTCAGTAAGGTCCACATTTGCAACCTCTAGCTCGTTATCCAGTAATTGTACAGTTTTAATATAATCTAGTGCACTGGGAACAAGAGATTCAAGCTCAGGAAATCGTTTTGCATATTGGTCTCTGGTGTATTTATGTATAACACCAATTTCATTATCAATTTCCACTGTGAGATTATTTGCTTCTACGATAAGTTGGTATTCAGGATCAGTTTCAATAGGACCAAACATTTGGCCTCTTGGTTTCTGTGAATACTCCTTAATTCTTTCAAGTACATCAACAAGCTGTTTCCCATCTCTTAGTTTTGCAATGTGTTTCACTGATTTCATATCCAAAGTATCATTTGTCTCCATTGCTTCTTCAATGGTGTCATTGTCAATAATGTCATTATTTGCATCTTCACCAATTTCCTCCAAGTCTGCTAGTAATTCATCAGCTAAAGACATGATTTTTTATGTAATCTTTACTGCAATTTTTTATGTTGAATACCAGTTATTTTACTTTTAACAATCAAACCATAAACGTAGGGTAATACTGTGCTAGTACGCATGTGCGAAACACTCACATAATTCACTGAAATAACACCAAGTACTGAGAACGCTATTGATCGGCGTGTGTATTACGGATTCAAATTTTGGAATTCGAACTTCGAAGCTGGAACGAACGTCGTGCAACGTCTAAAAAACAAGAAAAATTGTCATTTTAAATCTTTCTTATTCCTTACAATCAGTCATGACTTCGCTGTAAGTAGCTTAAAAGACGAAAATTCAATCCTTCCTGTAACATAAAAAGGCAGTATTTTTTGTTATGAAGGAGATGGTGATCAATTGTTTATTATTTTTTTATCAAGAGCTTCTAAGCCCAAGTCAGATATGACACCTGAAGAGCTTGCTCAACGAGAACAAGAGGAGTTTGCCACTGGTCCACTGTCTATTCTTACACAATCCGTAAAGGATAATGCCCAAATTTTAATCAATTGTCGGAATAATAGGAAGCTACTTGCACGCGTGAAAGCTTTTGATCGACATTGTAACATGGTTTTGGAAAATGTCAAAGAAGTTTGGACAGAAACGCCAAAAGCAGGCAAAGGAAAGAAAAAAGGAAAGCCCGTTAATAAAGATAGATATATTGCAAAAATGTTTTTACGAGGCGACTCGGTGATTCTTGTTTTAAGAAACCCGCGAGCTAGCACTGGCAAGTGAAGGAGCTATTACATTGGACAACGTGACACGACTGTGACAGATTTTTTTCTTACCTTGAAAAGATAGATAGCCTGTCATCCTGTGTTCTCTACCTGTTATCATTGTAAATTTCTTAAGTTTATTAAAAAGACACTACAGGAAAATAATGAATGATTACCAGAAGCAGTTGCAATTTGGGATGCAAGAGAAATTACTAGATATGACAGAGCTATGGGTTTCATTCTAAGGGGCTGTTTAAATTGTCCCAGTTAGTCAAGATTCAATGAAGGCCAGATGACTTTGAGATATTGAAATAAGCATATAACTTTATCTTGGCAATTGGGGTCAATTGCACAATCACCCTGATAATAGCATTTCAATACCTCAAAGTAATCTTGCAGAGGTTGCAAAACCAATCTTTATTAATAACAGACTACATTCCATACTTCAGAGTTCAATTGGATCTTTTAAATTTTGACAATGTGAATGGAACTTAATAGACCTTTCTTATAATGACGTCAAACGTGGAAAGTCTGATGTTATATGAAATTTGATTGGAACCAACCAATGTGTAACATCATACTTTCCGCGTTTGATGTCATTAAGAAAAAGGTCTATTGTTCTGATATTCTGTGGCAGTCCACTGGACTCTGGAGTGGACTCTAGCTAGTGTAAAAATGGCCAGTTTTTCTATCTCCAGTGTAAATACTTACCGCTTGCTGTTGCTAAACAACACAAGCCTGGTCTATCTATTGAAGTCCTTATTGCAGTTTTATTAAAAGTTTGTGATGGAATCTATCATAGAGTGACTACATTCAATACATTTTCAAACGATTTATGTGATGGTTACACCATGGAAAATAGTCTTTTAACTATCCATGGTTACACTCAGGTTTTATTATATTTATTTAGTCTAATGATATAACCAGTTCAGCATAAACGACAGTACAGTTGGCAGTTGTATGATACAGGCCAATGTAGTGCTAGGAAGAGCGGTTACCAAAACTATTATTTACCAAAGATAAAGATATACATTTAGTTTAGTAATTTCGGGATGGTTTATTGATCACCAGGGGGGAGCGTAGTTTTTCCCCAGTGAGCTGTTTTTCCCTTCGTGTCCTCCCGCGATGCATGCTGGACCGTAAGTAAGTTGTCGTGACTTCGAATCTCAAATCAACATTTAGAAGTCGAAGGAAATAAAACAGATTATTCATATTGAAACTATTGTTTTTTATCCAGCTTGCCGATGTTGTGAGGGCTGGCGTATGAGTAAGGCATGATCGGTTTTAGTGGTACTCTAAAATTGGTGATATCTGAAGCAACCGATTTGAAACCAACGAGTTTACATCATCATGGGGTGAAATTAACTAACCTCGATCCTTATGTATCGATATATGTCGACGAAATATTTCTGGCGCAAACACAAGCCAGAGGAAAGACTTCTGCTCCACGTTGGGAAGAAGCATTTGAGAAATTCATAGATTATGGAGAGATATAGGCTTGACAGTGTTTCATAAAGCTATTCTTCCACCTGATCCATTTGTTGCGAATGTCACAGTGCCTTTCGAACAACTTATAAACGAAACATCCAAGGACTATTTGTGGGTAAGAAAAACATATTGATTTCTGTTGCTGCTAAAAGTAGTATCACTTTACAACGGCAATATATAATATTTTCACTAGATCAAACTTGAGCCGTCTGGAAGAGTAAAAGTTAAGATTGAACTTAAAGAGTCCACTGGCACAGGTAATTTTAATTTTAATGTTATTGTTTCGGAAGTCCAATTGCAAATATGTTAAACTATTCAAAAATTTCTGCTCAACCTGTGAATTTTCCTCCATTAAAATAAGGTTAACCTTATTTATTTTATTGTCGTGTATTTTTGACTGAGTTTGTTTCCTGGTTAGTTTGTTTCTTGATGAATGCAACATTGTCTTCCGTTTAGTAAAAAGTATTTCAATGCTTAAAATTTTAGATAAAAGACCGAAATTTAAAATGAAAGAAGGTGCATTGAAAGCCCGTGGACGAAGGGGGGCGATGAGGCGAAGAATTCATCAAATAAATGGACATAAATTTATGGCAACATTTTTGTATCAGCCTACGTTTTGCGCTCATTGTAATGAATTTATTTGGTAAGTTTTGAGAGGCTTCAGAATTAACTAAGATTGCATGTTTTTAAACATTGTTATAATGTCTTCTCTTAGATATTTTGAGGATAATTCACTGCATTATTTACCTAGCTTATAGCTACCGATACCTCAAGTAAAACATATTTTATACTCTTGGAGAATTCTAAATTCCTAGCTTATTTTTTAAATATTGTCGCAATTTATATATATGTTGTAAAGAAGGATAATTTGAGACAAAACAATCGCACAATATGCGCGTTTTTGTTTTTATTCAATACTACACATATGCAAAACGAGAAATGTTGCCCACGTAATATACCCGATACTTAATCCGAGACACGAAACACGTTGTCCACACAAAATAAATCTATAAAGTCCAAATTTTTATTTTGCTTTTCCTGCATTTTGCTTGGCGATTTAATCTTTATTCAACTCCTTACATTATTTTCGCCCGACATTTTTGATGATTTTGGATGTACCCAAGGATTTATCCCATTATTTCCGTGTTCTGTACACCAGCATGGTCGTTTGTTATAAATTTTGCAAGTTCCAGTTAGAATTGAGTGCTGAGAATTTGTTTTGTTTATGTTTTCTCTGTTAATGTCTTAAAATAAACACTGAATTGACAGCTAAGTACGTAATGTAAAATATTTGTCCCAAGTGACAATGAGACTTGTATTATTTTTGGCAATTACATGTAAAAGACTAAAAGTCCTATCAAAGACAATTTGAATGCCTTACTAAATAGAAGTATGTTAAAAGCAATGTTTAGGTATATATCAAGCAATGAAGGTTGGGTGATAAAAGACCTATAATCATCTATATCACCATAGCATTGTGTTCGAGTCTATACTCAGTCTGCTCATGAGTCTAAACATAGTTGACAATTTTTCCTGTAGTTCTTATTCTTTCTTAATCCTGATTCTAATCTTGGTACGGTAGTCACAACCCAACCTAATACATGTCATCTACCTCATTTAGCCTCAGCCAGCTTCAACTTAAACTAATTATGTTATTTCACTTGGGAGCCCAGTTCCTTTTAATTTTCAACCAATCAGCTTGTGTGTTTAACTGTTGAAAGAAACACTCCAAGGAGGCATTTTTACCACCTAGGGTGAAGTAAACCAAGATGCAATTTTTTGTTGTTGCTTCTTTCATGATTGTGCAGCAATTTGTATAATAACATAGTGTAGTACAATTGCTATGCTGCATTCTTATTGGCAATGTTATTTGTTTACTGTGAGTTAAATTTGTCTCTTGTCACATTCTCAACCAGTTTTTCAACTATAAATTCTTTGTTCTCTTACTACTAAGACAATTAGATCCCACTTTATTCACTTTTCATATATATAATATGATAGTGATTGGTTGTGTTTTTATCTTTCCATTTTTAGGGGGGTGATTGGAAAACAAGGCTACCAGTGTCAAGGTCAATATTTTGTTACATTTCAGAGTTGGACTAGAAAGACTGGACTAGAAAGTAGAAATTTTTTTTTTTAACAGTTTGTACAAAGGTAGTCCACAAGAGATGCCATGAATCTGTGGTTACAGCATGTCCTGGACATAAAGATGAAGCTTCTGAATTGGTAAGATTTGTATTAAAGAATAAAATGTTTTCAAACATTTTGGAAGATAAATAAACTATGGATCTATAATGAAAGATAAAATTATGTACCTCCAAAAGGCTCTTACCTTACTTATTCTCAGTTCTTATATATGTGTCACACCAATGATATGTATAGTACTTTCATTTCATTGGATTTAGATTGGTGGGTCAAGGTTTACAATTAATGTGCCGCACAGATTTCATGTGCACACTTATCGAAGACCAACATTTTGTAACCACTGTGGTTCAATGTTGTATGGTCTATACCGACAGGGTGTTCAATGTCAAGGTTTGTGATTAACAACAGATTCTATGTGACAAAACAGGTGGCAGACATGACTAAGAATGTTGTAGATAGATACTGTTCTTTCATGAGTAACCCATTCTGGCTAAGGGTAGTGAATATTTTTAATTGTTCAAAACATTTTGCATATTTCTTCTATAGCATGTGGAATGAATGTTCACAAAAGATGCCAAATGAATGTTGGAAATAATTGTGGGGTAAAAACTAAGGAAATTGCTGAGATGCTAGCAGTTATTGGACAGAATGCCCATGGTATTAAAAACACACAGAAGAAAGTAGGTTGAGAATTTCAATCTGCAGGAGAATTTGTAGCTTTAAAAATAGCCTGATGTCCTTTTAATAATTACTGAATTTTTTACCTTTAGCTTTCCATATCGGACAGCACACCTCTGCTCCACCAAACAAATTCATCTCAAGAGAGCCCCCCCAAAACTCCGTCCAGTCTAGACAGTAATGTTCAGCATACTGGATTTAAGAAGAAACCAGTAAAACGGCAGATGAATGGAGTATCTAGTTACTCTCTTAAAGATTTTGACCTTCTGAAAGTATTGGGAAAAGGCACATATGGCAAGGTAGAAATACAATTTACTCCAATAACAAAATTAAAATCATTAGTAAATTATCGCTGCAACATTATAAAGTGTGGTTTACATCTTGTGTTGTCTATGGGAATGCACGTAGTTTATTCCGTAGTTGCATGTATTTTTCAGCCATACACTACCCTAAATATAAATTTTGCAAATATATCCAGAATATAGACTACTTCTTAATTTTGAATGTAAACATGGAAATAAATATTCTATATTCTAAAATAATGTGGACAAACTACCACCATTATTCTGGTTATGTTTACAATTTTTCCAGGTGATGTTGGCTGAACGAAAAGGAACAACAGAGCTATATGCAATTAAAGTTTTAAAGAAACAAGTAATAATGGAAGATGATGATGCTGAGTGCACTATGATTGAAAAGACAGTTTTAGCATTGGCAGCTTATCATCCTTTTTTAACGTCTCTTCATTCATGTTTTCAAACACCGGTTAGTTTAGTTTGTGTCGAAATGAAACGACCATATGTCAATTTATCCGTAAATAGTTTGTTACATCCAATATTTCATTATCTTAAAGGAACGATTATTTTTTGTAATGGAATACGTTAATGGTGGAGATCTCATGTTTCAAATACAGAAATCAAGAAAATTTGACGAGCCCCGTGCGAGGTAATGGACAATATGGTTAAAGAAAATATAATAGAAATAGGGTCAGGGAACGTTTTCTGCTTTTACACATTTGTATAAATGGTTCCTTAATTTTAGGTTTTATGCTGCAGAATGTGTTTCAGCCCTACAATATTTACACGAGAAGGGAATCATCTATCGGTAATTAGCTACTGCATTTTAAAATAATGGATGCTGATGGGACCTCCACATACGAAACGTTCATAATCAGTCAACAATTAATTTATTCTTCTCAACAGAGATCTTAAACTAGACAACGTGTTACTAGACAGAGATGGGCACATAAAGTTAGCAGACTTCGGGATGTGTAAGCTGGAAATGTCTTTGAATACAACAACCAGCACATTCTGTGGCACACCGGACTATATTGCACCTGAGGTACATATATCGTACTTATTATTAGCACTATATAGAACTTATGTCATAGCCCTAAGGGTATTCAAGATTTACCCCTCGAAGCCAAAAGTCTTGTATACACGTGTAAAAGTTTTGTTTTCATTTAAAGATTCTCAAGTCATGAGAATTTTAGCGCATTTTAATATTTTTGCCATAGGTAAGGGATACAAAAAGAATTGAAATCTGCCAATGTATGATTTTTAAATTTTGCTCAAAATTCGTCCAAACGCTTTAATTGAGCCAGAGTTCGTATCTTAAGCGTGAAGTGCCGAGGAGGCGCTTTGGAACACGGATTTTTATCCCTTCAACAAATTTGATTGGATAAAACAGAACTGATTTTTAATGTAACTTCAGAATTTTTAAATATTTCAATAGTTTCAATAGAACCTCCCCTCTTCTTCACAGTTTCAAAAGCCTTCAGATATGCTATAAACTTTCTGTTGGAGTACATTTACCTCGCTTTTACTGTGTTTTGGCATATCTTGTTTTTTATGGTACTATGGTAGTTCTTTGTCGAAAAATTAGATTAATACCGAGAGGTCATGTGAAGCTATTTTGAATGAAAAGTCAGTGAGGCAAAAATGCAAAATCTTATTTCTTTTGGAGCTAGCCAAGTCTCTCTACCTGTAAAAAATTTCTGTAACTGTAGGGTGATTAACACAATGTGGTAAGTTTTGTTTCAGAAATCATTAACTGTGTTGCGTTCAGTAGATCCTGCAAGAAGTGCCATATTCTTTTTCTGTTGATTGGTGGGCTCTGGAGGTTTATGTATGAAATGATGGCAGGTCAGCCCCCATTTGAAGCTGACAACGAGGATGAATTGTTTTACTGCATACTTCATGAGGAGGTCTTGTTTCCCGTATGGCTTTCTAGAGAGGCCATTCTTGTTCTCAAAGGGGTTAGTAATAGAACCGACGGAAGAACATTTATTTATTTCCTATTTGTCATATATGTATCCTTATTAATATTGTTCGTTTGTAGTTATGACAAAGGACCCAAGTAAAAGATTGGGATGTACTTCATTAGGAGAGAGAGCTATACGAGATCATGTATTCTTTCAGGATATTGATTGGAGAAGATTAGAAAGAAGAGCAATTGAACCGCCTTTCAAACCAAAAGTTGGGGTAGGTGATGCTGTTTGAAAACGTGTTAGAACATTAAAGAGGCTATGAAAAAAGGTTTCGCTGGTCTACTTTATATTTTTAAAGCTGTATTGTCTTTTTTATAGAAAACATACTTAGATCCAGTAAATTTCGAGTTAGAGTTCACACGAGAAGAAGCAGCACTTACACCTTCAGGAAAGGACGTTTTAGAGACAATTAATCAGGACGATTTCAAAGGATTTTCATATGTTAATCCGAACTTCACAGCCAACACGCAATTCAACTTGTAACAGTTAAACTAGCTGGACCTAACATCGCGACGTGTCACGTAAGGGATTTTATTCATTAATTTATACTAACAGGCAGGCACTCATCTTCCCAAGACAAGACCAGCTACCCTTCAAAGGATAGCTAGACGCATGCTTGCACATGCACACCGCTATTTAGTGAAGTTGTAACCGTTTTTATAATGGAAAACCATTGTATAATGGCAATTTCGTCGCAAGTTTTTTTGCAAGAGATGTGGTATATATGTGCATGCTATTTAATTTGCTTTTCAGATCATGTGAACTTCAGTCTGCAAATCTTTACATATATATATTTCCGACGTATATTCATATGAAAAAAATGCGTCAGTTTTCCAGTTCAACCATGCATGTCGATCGTTACGTTTTTTTTCAAGTCTTCAATACTTGGTTGAAATATAATAGAAAAATGAAACTGAATCCTACCCATTTATTGCTGTCGTAATCATGCAGTTCCCCAAAATCCTTTTATGCGGTTGAATTGTAAACCCGACTATTTATATACATTACTTTAGAGCCATAAACTTATCAACATTGCCGATCAATGCGAAATAGAAATATAACTTTGTTAACAGTGTACATATAATTGGAAAATAAAAAAGAAAGCATTGATATTGGATTCTTTAGATTATGGGCTATAGCTCTATCAGTTCCAAACTGTTCTTCCTAGAGATCCAGGAAGGATGATATGTTATTGATCCAGTGTTATTAGAAGATGAAGTAAATCGTATTAGACAGAACGTAGCAATATTTTAATTCGGTTTGAAATTAGAGTTTTCCTTCTCTTAGGTGAACTGCCTACCATGGCTAATGAGCTCCACCTACCCAAAGTAACTTGATTTTACACACAACCATTAAAATCTTGTTCTATGTGTGTCGACAAGTGTCTGTACTGATGGAGGAGGAACAGGGGCAATATTGGGTGCAATTTGTCTAGGATCATCACTTGGAATACCAAGTCTTTTGTTTACATTCCCTTCTGATGTGATCCTCTTTATAAAAACCTGCATCAGTTCAGGAATGTAACTAAATTCTTTGGTACAAGAACACGAACACAGCACCACTGTTGTGTACGCTTACTGAACTTCCGACCGTACCTAATAAAAAAACACTTTACAATTCCATACAATATGAGTACCATTACACTATAAGAATGCACAGGACCTGAAAAGTTGTTCACACTTAGGATGGGAACACTAAGGCAAAAATTTCAATACCAGTACCTTTCTTTCCCATCAGCTGTAGTTGCTGGTGCTCGGCCTCTGTGGTGGTTAAAGTCCAAGGAGGCAAGCTGGTTTCTATAAGAGTTTTATCATGATAGGAGTTTTATTAGCTGTTACCTTTGTAATAATATGTCATATACTTACGAATAGGCATGGCGCTTTGGAGCATACATCAAAATTACATTATGAAAGGACTCTAAAAATCCTGTGTGCCTAAAAAATATTTCAAACTTTGAGATGATATAACTTATCTGAAATTTTCAAATATCCAATCTCATTTGTTACCTGAAGTTAACATAATACACCAAAGTGTTTAAAAAGCGAGTGTCCAGAATGATCTTGCCAGTGCTTTATGGGCAGAAGACTCTTTCTTAAGCCATGGCTTCTTTCTCTCACTTTCATTAAGAGGATCATGTTCACATTTTCCACCATTTACACCTTCCTCCAACACCCACTCATGCTCATCAACAACATGGTGTAAAATACCAATCCACTTATCCTATTAAAAAATATAAAAAATACAACATAAAGTGACTACATATTAACACATGTATGTACAGTTTGCATGAACTAGATAAGTATTGCTGCAAAAACCAGTAGTACTTCAATGTGAATCTTACTTTGAGATTTTTTGAGTCATTAGCACATGTTTTTGAACAATACCAAAAATGGTTCCTTATTGATGGTGCCCACAAGGTCAAATCTGCATTGTCTTTAGATTTAGCAGCCTAAAGAATAAAATCAATTCTAAATAAAGAAAGTTTTTTAACTAATTGCTGGTTGATATCTTCAACACTTACAGTAGTGATTTTCCTTGCAATGTTCTTTGCTCCATGCCACACATCATTCTGATGTGTGACCTCCTTATATTTCTCTTCCCTTTCTAAAAAATGCAATAATGCTTAATTAATAAACAAATGCATGTTGTAAATATTCCCTCACTGTCTTTTAAAGGGTAAACACAATTAATTATATAACATTGTAATCAATCTGCAAATGAAGTTGTTGAATTATTGAAAGTCTGACAATATTGATTATAACAGGTTGAACTATTAGAGTTTCAGGAATTGCCATATTGTTATAATGTAGATACTTACTCATCAATGCAGCAATTTCAATATGACCATCAGTTACCACCTCCTTCATAACTATTTGTGGTGCAAGCAGTGTGTCCATCTTTTTTTCAAACCCAATCCTCTCCATATTATTGCTCTTACCAGCAGCTTCTCTCACATCAACCACATTCATTTGCAGTATGGCACGATCATTGGTATCAGCCAAGCTGTAAGTACAATATTGTGCACTATGGCCAGGCGAGTCATTCCTTCCATCACCACTCAATATAACCTGGTCCTCTTTGTTCTCTCTTTTTTCCAACATTTCTGTTTGTGTTCTTTCCAGTAGTCATTAATGGCAGGGATGATGTACAACTTCTGATACTGATTGAATAATATTAATGAGAAATACTGAGAATATATAACAACAAAGCAGAAGCAAGCACAAGGTTGCCTGCTCTAATCTTGTTGCAAGAGGGTTGAGCTGCCCATCTGCCTCCAACATGACCAGACCTACACCCCCAGGATACGACCAGGCATGTTCCAACATATGTTTTCTTATAGCTCAACACACGGCCACATCCTTGTCGTTTACAAACACTCCCATGTAATGATGTTATCAAAGCTATAAGAGTGTCTGTAAACACAATACACTTTTCCTTCTTGATTGCATCTTCAGGACTGACTTCTTCCACAGTAGAGATGTATTCTGGTTGAGTCGTCTTATGTTGCTGCTGTTGTTGTTGTTGGGTTCCAACATCTTCTGTGGGCTCATCTCCATCATGTCCACGGATTGTCACATTGAGCAAGTCATCCAGTAATGGCACGTCAAAACCCGGGGGACATACACTACAGTAAAATGGCAGTAAGAGATATTATTGGACGAAATATTTTATGCCATATTCAGTGATATATAATGTGTATATTTATGTTTTAAATCAATAAGCATTACAGTAGGAATGTCACAAAGATTATTATTGAGGTTTTGCATCATCACTTACTCAAGAGAATAGTCCGACAAAACCTGGTCTGCCTGGATAGTGTGTTCACCAAAATTGTCATTATCATCATCACTTTTATCATCAGAACTATCATCTTTGGCTGTCAATGTTCGACTGTCAGAAATCACACTCTGACCCGACCTGAGATATAAACACATATTGCGTATTTAAAAAGTAATACTCTCTGCGCGAAACTTTGCATGTATGGGTTTCAAATTATAAACTCAGTAATCACAATAAGTTTCAAATTACCTGATAGAATATGATGTTCTAACATCCGACAAAGCAGACAATCGACGCGGATTGAGTGCGCGCTTGGCGTTGAGGTTTTAACTATAAAATATTTCATACAAATGTTTTATGCGAATATTTTAAAAAATAATAAATGTTTACGTTTTTGGAGCAGCACTTTAAAAATATGTTCTTACTGGGAGAAGAAAAATATTTGGAAGGTGTACCTGGCGGCATATCCGTTGATTCCATTACCGTTTCGGTTTGCGTCTCTGCATTGCTAAAGTGAGTTCAACACATACATAAAAAGCAAATCAAGTAAACAAATAACACACAAAAAAGATCAGAGGTTTTATCATTTTATACTTACCAAACTATACGATTCATCGCAAGATAGCTGTCAAGAAGCATATCCGCCACATCCTTGTCTGTTCTCAATTTATGCTGCTCCTTAAACGCTCTCCATCGAGGGAAAGAACCCAACAAATACACTTTAGAGGCATCTCTACTAGCATATTCTTTTCTACTCGACGACATGACTCAGTGCTCTTGAAAGATTGAGAATTTCTTTCTTAAATTGTCGGCTGGTCATGGTTTTTAGACTGAACAATCCGGGGGATTATCAACTTCGGGTGGAGTCCCCAGGCTGGCGCACGCGCAGAAGCCGTGTCTTTAAAACAGGCAAAAAAAATAAGAAATTTCAACCGCTCTTCACCGCAATTTCGGCTCTCTTCACCGCAATTTCCACCGCTTTTCACCGCAATTTCCACCGCTCTTCACCGCAATTTCCACTGCTCTTCACCGCAATTTCCACCGCTCTTCACCGCAATTTCCACCGCTTTTCACCGCAATTTCCACCGCTCTTCACCGCAATTTCCACTGCTCTTCACCGCAATTTCCACCGCTCTTCACCGCAATTTCCTTTCGCTTCTACGCATGTGCGAGCTTTGTTTATATTTTTCGTTTTGGTGTGAATCCATTTCATTTGCACAACATGAAGTATCCAAAAAACTAAATTAAAATGGCGGACGCATCAAGAGTGAAGAGTGGAGCTTTATAAAACCATTCAACAATTGTCGTTTAAAAGACAACCAAATAAATATTTTGAAAAAGAACTACTGGAAGATATCTGCTGTAAGTTTGTCGATTTTGTCTAAGTTTGAGATACTGTGTATAATTATTTTTACAGTGATTGTTGAATTATTATTAAATTTGGATAAAAGATTATACTCAGATAATGATTTTGTTAATAAAATACCTTCGTACTCTGTTCTAATATTGCAGGATTCAGATTTATGAGCAAGATAATCATGCTTCCATGGTCAAAGTAGCTCTTCTGAGTTTGTTTCATCATCGACATCAATGCCATGTGGGT